AAATTAATAAGGCTTTATGTTACAAATCCCATAATTTTAGAGTTTAATTGAACCCTTCAGAATACCTATCAGCTGAAAACTCTATATTGTTAATTACATTCTTATCCATAATCTTAAATATTTTTCAAAACTAACAGATGCTAATGTTGAATTATTTTAAGAAATTTAAACTGAATTTATTTTTCGGATTGGCCTAGAATTTAGCCATCACTTTTCTTGGTTTAAAGTCCCAAAAATATATTATTTTCTTACATCCACATCCAGCTAAAAAGTATTTTGAATCTTAAGAAAAAGAATATCAGAATTTGAAATTTTCATCTAATTCATTAAATTCTTAATAATTTCCATTCTTATTTAAATAGACTTGGTTCTTTGAACAAAAGATTAAATTATTTCTATCTTTGGAAATCGCTATTGTTCACAATCAATAGTTTCACCAAGATAAAATTCTATTGCATTTTTATTAAAATCAAAAATTGTAAAATTTTTATCTTACAAAAAAATGAATATTGGAATTATTAAAGATCTAATAAATTTTCTTATAATAATGTCAATGTTTCAAATTGAATCATTATCCAACAATGAAGCAAGATAATTAGAGCACGTTTTTGGAACAGCTGAATATGTTGCTTCACATATGACTCCAATTAGTTAAGGTTAGTTAATTTCGGCCATATTGAAAGATTGAACCTAACTCAAATTAAAAAATATCATAGTTAAAACTTCTTAAAGAATGAAATTTTATGTAAATGAAAACAATTGAATTTACTTTTTCTTGAGATACTACTTAAATTAATTATGCTTTATGTTATTCTTATACGCCATAGTAAATGATCTGATTATAGTTACTCGAAAAAGAAACATCATGATTAACCAGGGATTTGACTTAAAAAATTCTGAAGAAGACTTCTTTAAGATTGAATTAAGAACTATTTGATTTAGGATATTTGGCTAAATTAATATCTTTATCAAACAAAGTTTATATCAATCTAAGAATTTAAGTAATCTTGCTAGAAAGTTTAAAAAACAAGTACATCTGCTCAACCTCCAAATGAATATGTAAAATTCAATAATATTACAAATAATATTATAGCAAAATAAATAATAGCTAAATATATTTTCAATGAAAATAAGCTCATTTTTCTACATAATACTTTGTTTTTTAATTATTTTTCTTAAATTAAAATCCTTTTTCCTCATTCTTATTTTCAATCTTAAAGTATAAAATTTGGTAAACAATATATTAAATCAATTTTCTCTCAGAATATTTCTAAGAATAATAGAAGTAATTCATTTCTTGTTATAGTTATCGCAACAATAGATCTCAATATTAAATTATTATTTTAACATAGAAGCAAACCATAAGTCTTTATAACATCGCATCAATTGATAAAAATTATCTCATTGTATTATTGCTTTAAATAATTTAAATATTCAGAATTAGAATTAGAGAATTTATTTACAAAATTATTTTGAAAGCAAAATTTAATACATTTTTTTTTATTAACAATCTATAGAAAGAATCTTTTTGTCATTACTTTGGATCAAAATTAAAACTTTGAAGGAGTTGTTTAGTAATCTTACAAAATATTCAGCAGCCAAGCTCTTTTTTTAATTCCATTTTTTTTGTCGTTTTTGTACTATTTATTGTAATTATCAATATTTTTAATAAAAGATCAAAAAGGATCAATTTGTATTGTTTTTATTCAATATTTGACTTTTAGGCTCATTACGAGTTTTTATTTTCTTAATGCTTTCCCCAAGATATAGCAGAGTCGAAGTATCCAAAAGAATATTATAAACAACTTAAAATTTCTTTTAATAATTCAGTAATTTTTAATGTAATTGATAATTTGCTCACTATTAAAATGAATGTTAGACAGGATAATAAATGAAATTAGAATAATTAAGAAATAACTCAATGTTAAGTATGCATAGAAATGATGATTAGGCCTTCTAAATTCATTTATTGACTTTATTATGAATCACAATTATTAGTATGGAAAGTTAAGTTCTCTGTTAAATATAAGAATGACCTTTTATATCAAATAAAATAATTGATTCCAAATACCTAAATATATTGTAGTTATTTGCTCCTAAGAAAAGAAAATCTAAAAAAAGGAAGATAATCTTATTTTTTAAAGCTTATTTTTTGTGTTAACTCCAATATATACTGGTTTGATTAATTCACAGACTTCCTTTTTGACATAGATGCATAATAGACTAGTAATGTTCTAATAAATAATATATTGAGCTATCGAGTATCAGTATAAGATGGTTGAATGGTAAACCTCTTATACTAGACTACAAAATAATTTTAGGGATCTAGAGATCTTCCTTTAGAAAACTATGGCCTCAATAAAATTTAAATAAATGTTAATAAAAATCAAATCTTAATTTTAAATTAAATTAATAATAAATAAATTTTTTTCATTAGAAAATTATAAAACTTAATCAGAAATGATCAAGCATTTTTTTTAAAATTACTGATTTAACTAAAACAATACCAATCAAGAAAAAAATTAAATTGAAAAATACATGCAAGATTTAAATACATAAATAAAGCATCTTAACCAGTAAGAAAATCATACTATTCACTTAATGAAATGTTATAAAGCTGGACTTGAAATTCAATTCTTTAGCATAAGTAAACTGGAATTTGCTGAAACAAAAATTAATCATTTTCTAAAGTACTCCAAACTTAAGAATTTTTTTTATTTGAATGTTCCATAAGACTTAAGAAAAAATGTTGAGTAAAAAATATTATATTTGATATACGCTGAAGATCCATAATAATCTAGGAATTAAATGGTCCAGAAATTTGGAGATTGTAAAAATAGACATACGAGATACTTGGAGTTTATTAATGAAATCTTTAAGGGAATATAGGTGCTGCGCTTTGATAAAAACCCAAAAATTATTCAATGAATTGTAGAAATTAGTTTTGGAGCATTTTAGTTGGAAATAGGAAAAAATAGAAAAATTTGAATCCTTGTCACCAAGTATGCCATGGATGTTAAAAAAATTAAAAAAAGTTGTACCCATAGAATTCTGGAAATCCATCATTAATTAAACTCAAAAAAAAAAAAATCAGAAAATATTTAAATAGAGTAAAATAAATTAGGGAACAACAAAGGCTGAATGTCTTATTGACTCTGTTTTAATTGGATAAAGTATAAATTTTAATTATAGCTCTTGAAAGAATGTTCTACTTATGAATTTCATCAATTTATCGCATAACTGTTTCTTGAATAGTTTTTAACGAGAATGTTCCCAATTAGATAAATCTCTAATACAAGGATTTTATTTTATTAAACAATTATAATAAATTTCCTATCATTTGAATGAATTGATTTTCATTCCTTCATATTAGATTCTTAATTACCTAATCACATAATTAACTACAATAATTCCTTCCCTTAGGCCATCATTTTACATATATTTCATCATCGTTCATTCAGAAGATCAAAATATATTAGGATATTAGTTAATACTTTATATGCTACATTTTGAGTATTTCTGAATCAAGTTATAGTATTAAAAAATAAAGTTTAATGTTCTATTTAAGTCAAATGATGGCAAAAATGGTTGTTCTCCAAAATAACAATCTAAATGAATTTTCAGTAAATTAGCTTCAAAAATGAAGATTAGGAATGAAGGATTTTAGTGGAAAGGCTTTCCTATCATAAAGTGAAAGAATAGAAGAATATTTTAATCAGTCACTTCGTTAAAACTTGAATAGATTGAGTCTTTACTTATATTATAATTTTCTCAAAATTTACCTAATATATTATCAAACTTAAATTACAAAAGTTTTTATTTTACAATTTGGTTTCATTTATTGAATTTCTTCATAAATATATATTGATGTTGAATTTGTAATACTTAAATGTTCGTATTCTAAGCATTAATTACTCTTATTCAGAAGATAAGCTTTTGATATTGCTATTCGAAATTAAATGAGCATATGTACATTAATATCTCATTCCTTAATATAATAATCATAATAATTGATCTAGGCTGAGGCTTTTGCAAAATCTTGCAAATTAAATAATATTTAATATTTTCAAATTAGCATAGCTATTCAATGCTTTTTCCTAATTTTATAGATTAGAAATTCTTGACACCTGATAAATACTAAATAATTAGAACAGCTGAATGAAAAGAAAAAGCCACAATATTGCATAAAGTACTTCATGAGACAGCTGAACAGAGACAAGGAATCAGGCTCCATGCTAAAGCCAATTAGAATAAATATAAGGATACAAGAAAATTCGAATAGTCTTGAAGTAGAATATTGGTGTAATTTTCTAATTCTATTTAATAATAGATAGAGATTTCAAGATTCATAGCTAGTTCTTTTACAATTTTTGAATCAAAGAAATGTACAAAAAAATATCCAAATAAAACTGAACTGCTACCTAAACAAAAATAAGAAAGTAGGTCTATAATTCAGGAATTATTTATTTAGAAAGTATTAAATAAAATTTATTCTTATATAATTCACTTTTTTATTCTATTAATATTCATTTTGTAGGTTCCATATAATGTTTGAAATTTTATCTTATGTAGAAAACTTGAAGACTCTGAATGAGCAAATAAAAGGAACGTTGCAAATGGAAGAAAGTTCAATCTATAAGTCTAATATGGTGTATATTCTTGAAAATTAAAAAAAATGTAGAAAATGCTAAGTGAAAAAACAATCTTAATTTAAAAAAAACAAGACAAAATTTATCGACGTTTCTTCTTTGCATGTTCTAATGTTGTGGAAAATTCTATTAAGCTTAAAGAAGTAGAATATTATCAGCAATAAAAATTAGAGTATTTGAACAAAAATTTTTCCTTCAATTAATCTTTTTCAATTTTCTAAAAATTAAAATTTTCTGATATCATTTTTATTGTAGATATCTTCTGTCTATCTTTGGGGAGATAATTTTAAGAATTCTAAACATGCAAAAAAGTTAAATAATTGTAGACAAAAAATAATGATTAGAAAGATGATTTTTTTGTGTATTTTATAAAATTTTCCCTATATATATTTAAAAATCATTCTCATCAGAACATAAGATATCCTAAAACGATAGACAATCCAAGAATGTATCCTGAGTCTGTTGTTGTGTTATTATTTGTAGTGTTGGTATTATTGTCTGTGGTATTTGGTTAAACTACAACTGCTGTGCAAACTCCGCATTTGCTTGTTGATGCATTCCAAGTATATGTATATCCAGAAACTAAGAAGCAATCGTTTGAAGACAATGTTGATGGATCTGTTGCTGTGCAGGCTCCGCTTACTAGAGTACAAACCTATTAAGTCTTTTTATCCCAATTTAAGAATCTTGTACAAGCTCCGTTGGTAGCTTAATTTGTAGCACAAGTATGAGTAGCACATTTACTAGCAACTGCGGTTGCTCCAGTTCCTGAAGCAGCAGTCCAAGAGCATCTATCTCTGGCAGCTTAGCAGGCTGTTTAATCATTATTAGCAACTGTACATGCAGTCATTAATGCACAAGTTCCAGTTCCAGCAGCAGCTCCAGTTGCTGTTGATTAAGTGAATACACAAATTCCATCCAAACCTCCTGAATTACATGCTATCTTAGATGTATATGTTGAGCAATTGGCTTTTGGAATGCATGCAGTTCCATTTGAAACACAAGTTGACAAGGCTACAGAACAAACGTTAGTTGCTGTTCCATTTTGAATATCAGCACAAGTAAGTAATCTACATTTTGCAGTATTATTATTTGTAGCAGATGCTAATTCCCAGTAGCATGCTCCATCAGATCCAACTGCTGTTGTGCAAGCAGTTTAAGTTGTGTAAGATGTACAGGCTCCTTTAAGTAAACAAGTAGTTCCATCTGATGTGCAGGTTGATAATTATGAAGAACATGTTGCATGAGTTGTGCCTGTCAAATCAGCACAAGATTAATCTCTGCAACTACTTGATGTAGTATCCCATGTACAAATACCAGTGGATGTAATAACTCCAGATGTATATAGAGTTCCCTTATCGTTGAAGTAACATCCAGCCTAAGCAGTATATGATGAGCATGATCCTAAAGCTATGCAGCCAGTTGTTCCATTTGTTGTGCACTTGCTACTAGCAATTTAACAATCTGAATGAGTTGTGTAGAAAGCATCAGCACATGAGGTGTAAGGTTTACATACTTTTGGATCTGAAGAATTCAAGGCTGGTACTGATTGAATACAAGCTCCGTCATACCCAGTGACACAACCTCCATCAGTGTTAGTTTCTGAACATAAAGTAATTCCAACACAATTTGAACCATTAGTTGTGCATTTATTACTTATCCATTTGCATGAATTATCATTATTCCAATTTAAACTCTTGCATGATGTATATCTGAAACAAGCCCCTTAAGTTCCATCAGTATTTAGATATTTATCAATCCACAAGCATGGTCCATTTGTTCCTTCTATGCAAGCTGCTCTTACTGAAGTTTATTCACAATTTTATACTCTAGCACATTTTCCACTAGCTCCAGCTGTACATCCAGCTCTTTAAGCCTAACATGCAGCATGAGTAGTTCCACTGAAATCTTAGCAATCTTTATCTCTGCATTTATTTTATGCACTATCCCAAGCACATACAGTACCATTCAAAGCAGTTGTGCAAGCTACATCAATAGTGACAGCTGAGCAAGTTGATTTAGTAACGCATCCTCCACCATTCTTTGTTGTACAATTTGTAAAATATCCAGCGCAAGCAGCTTCACTTGTTAAAGTAATTGGAGCAGTGCTACAATTTTTAATTGTACAATAAGCAGGTGAAGTGATTACATTTGAAGCATTTAAAACAGCTGGTATCCATTCACATTATTAATTTGTCGAGGATGTGACACATCCAGCTTGACTTAAGGCTTAGAAGCATGTTCCTCTTGTAACACAATTTGTTCCATTTGTTGTGCAGGTAGAGATAGCTTGTTTGCATAAAGCATCAGTAGCAAAGGCAAAATCTTCACAAACTTTAGTTTTACATTTAACATTATCTAAAGTGCATCCAGCTAAATAGGTATTACATTCATCAGCAGTAGCAGTTGCATCAGGAGCATTGTCACATGATTTTGTAATACAAGCTGTTCCTGTCCAATAACAAGGATCTCCAGCCTTATTATAATAACATTACTTCTATGTCATAGTTTCACATGTTGCAGGAATTTCTACACATCCTTATCCAGAATCTGAGACTGTACATTTATTAGTGATGTAAGCTCTACATTTTGTATCATCATCATAATCTGCAGTTGCAGGAGCAGTAGCACAAGATTTGTCAGCACATTATGTTCCATTCCATCCACATGGATCACCATTGGCGTTGATTTAACATTATTCTTTATCAATATAACTTGAACAAGCAGCAGTTTGTTAACATCCTCCTAAAGTTGGATTACCACCACTATTGCTTGGAGTGGCAACAACAGTACATTTTACTGTTGCAGTATTGTAGTAAGCATAGCAATCATTATGAGTTGTAGTGGATGTTGGAGCACTGGTACAAGACTTATCTTAGCAAGCAGGTGCTGGCAAATTAGCATTTGTATTCCAAACACAAACACCATTACTTGCGTTAGTTTTACATTGTTCTTCAATTGTATAAGAAGCACATGCTCCTCTAGCCATACACCCTTAAGCGGCTGCTCCATTTGTAGCTCTAACTGTGCAAGCAAGGGTTGCATCAACGGCAACACATTCATTATGAGTATCATATAAAGTTGTGGCTTCGATATTGCCACAATTCAAATCAACACATGTCTTATTAGTTGGATTCCAGAAACATTTTCCGCCACTAGTATTAAATTTACATTAGAGTGATGATTTGTAAGAAGCACAAGCTGCTCTGGCTTGGCAACCTCCTAATCTAGCAACAGTACAAGATTGTTAATAAGCTGAACATTCAGTGTCATCATCCCGAGTATTATCGGTTGCTGCTGTATCACAAGTCTTTCTTACGCAAGAAGTACCTACTACTACACATTCTCCTTCAACTGAGTAAAGACAAGAAGCTTAAGTTTAATCTGCACATTTAGATGCCATAGTTTAGCATGCACTGTTTCCAGAATTTACAGTACAGGTGTTGAGATAACTATAACAATTTGTATGATTAAATGTAACCACAGCATTTGCACAAGTTTTTGCTACGCATGCAGTTGTTCCATTATTTGTACATCCAGCCTTCATTTCATTACAATTGGCACTGCTGTAATTTCCTGCTCCTAAATACACAGCATCGCAAGCTGTTGCAGCTGTTGCAGCTACACAAGCAGTATCTGTATTTGTACTTGCAATACATAAACCAGCTCCTGATTTATAACAACTTGTCATTGCACTTGTATATCCTGAACATTATGCTTATTATTAGACACAAGCACTTCTTGCTCTATTTACGCTACAACCTGTATTATACGATTAGCAAATTTCATATGTTATAGTTCCAGCAGATCCAGTAATTTTAGCGCAATCAGTTGCAACATTTGATATTGTAATGCAAGCAGAACCTTATAAATAACATTTTGAAGTAGCAGTTTTTGTGCAACCTAGAGTTGTCCCTGGATATTATTCGCATGTAAGTTTTAAATCTTAACATGCTGACCCATCAGACACTGATGTACAATTTGCGCTGTAGTCTTAACATTGAGTGTGATCAAGCCCTGATCCAGTTATTGAACTACATTAGGGACCTGATAATTATTGACAAGATGCCTCAGGGCTAGTTGCTGCTGAATTCCAAAAACAATTTACTGGTGTTCCTGCATTAGTAACCATACAATTTGCTGATACTGTATATTCAGCACAGGTGGCAGCTTTTGCATAACAAGCAGTTCCTGTTGCATTAGCAAAACAAGCAGCATTTTTAGCAGCACAAATTGCATCAGTTAATCCTGTTCCTGTCACTAATTAGCATTATGTAGCAGGAGTTGCTAAATCAGCACATGCAGTACCTGACCATACACACTATACTGGTGTTCCTGCATTAGTAACCATACAATTTGCTGATACTGTATATCCAGCACAGGTGGCAGCTTTTGCATAACAAGCAGTTCCTGTTGCATTAGCAAAACAAGCAGCATTTTTAGCAGCGCAAATTGCATCAGTTAATCCTGTTCCTGTCACTAATTAGCATTATGTAGCAGGAGTTGCTAAATCAGCACATGCAGTACCTGACCATACACACTATACTGGTGTTCCTGCATTAGTAACCATACAATTTGCTGATACTGTATATTCAGCACAGGTGGCAGCTTTTGCATAACAAGCAGTTCCTGTTGCATTAGCAAAACAAGCAGCATTTTTAGCAGCGCAAATTGCATCAGTTAATCCTGTTCCTGTCACTAATTAGCATTATGTAGCAGGAGTTGCTAAATCAGCACATGCAGTACCTGACCATACACACTATACTGGTGTTCCTGCATTAGTAACCATACAATTTGCTGATACTGTATATTCAGCACAGGTGGCAGCTTTTGCATAACAAGCAGTTCCTGTTGCATTAGCAAAACAAGCAGCATTTTTAGCAGCGCAAATTGCATCAGTTAATCCTGTTCCTGTCACTAATTAGCATTATGTAGCAGGAGTTGCTAAATCAGCACATGCAGTACCTGACCATACACACTATACTGGTGTTCCTGCATTAGTAACCATACAATTTGCTGATACTGTATATTCAGCACAGGTGGCAGCTTTTACATAACAAGCAGTTCCTGTTGCATTAGCAAAACAAGCAGCATTTTTAGCAGCGCAAATTGCATCAGTTAATCCTGTTCCTGTCACTAATTAGCATTATGTAGCAGGAGTTGCTAAATCAGCACATGCAGTACCTGACCATACACACTATACTGGTGTTCCTGCATTAGTAACCATACAATTTGCTGATACTGTATATCCAGCACAGGTGGCAGCTTTTGCATAACAAGCAGTTCCTGTTGCATTAGCAAAACAAGCAGCATTTTTAGCAGCGCAAATTGCATCAGTTAATCCTGTTCCTGTCACTAATTAGCATTATGTAGCAGGAGTTGCTAAATCAGCACATGCAGTACCTGACCATACACACTATACTGGTGTTCCTGCATTAGTAACCATACAATTTGCTGATACTGTATATCCAGCACAGGTGGCAGCTTTTGCATAACAAGCAGTTCCTGTTGCATTAGCAAAACAAGCAGCATTTTTAGCAGCGCAAATTGCATCAGTTAATCCTGTTCCTGTCACTAATTAGCATTATGTAGCAGGAGTTGCTAAATCAGCACATGCAGTACCTGACCATACACACTATACTGGTGTTCCTGCATTAGTAACCATACAATTTGCTGATACTGTATATCCAGCACAGGTGGCAGCTTTTGCATAACAAGCAGTTCCTGTTGCATTAGCAAAACAAGCAGCATTTTTAGCAGCGCAAATTGCATCAGTTAATCCTGTTCCTGTGATTGAGGAGCAACTAGTAAACCGATTACAACTACTTCCATTCCAGAAACATTTTCCTTATCCTGAACCAGAACAATTATTATCAGCTGTATAACCCGAACATACTGTCTTATACTCCTAACATCCGGTACCATTTTTTAAGGATGTGCAAGAAGAGTGATATAGCTAACATTTAGAATGATCCAAACCTGTTAATCCAGTCACTAATGCACATTCAGAGGCTGAAGTCACTGATTGGCAATTTGTGTTCATTGCACAGTATCCTGCAGTTCCACTTGCACTTGATCTGAAACAATTAGCTGCTGTAGATCCGTACCCAGCACAAGTAGATTAGATAGCAATACAACCAGTGCCATCTTTTTTGACTGAACATGTAGAATCTAATGCTTAGCAATCTGCAAATGTCAAACTTGATCCTGTTTTTAAAGTACAATCTAAAGTACAAGAAGCTGAAGATGCTGCACCTACAGTGTTTGTACATCCTGCTCTATATCCTTCACACATTGTTTTAGTACCTTTGAAAGTTGTGCAAGCTCCTGTAGCAAAAGAGGACAATGCATAACATCTATCAACAATCCACTTACAATCATCATTTGCTGTTAGATTTGTGAGAGTTTTATGGCATTAAGCTGATGTCATATAATCTGAACAATTTGCTGATTTTGATACACATCCTTAAGCTCCAACTTTGTAGACAACTGTACAGGTTTCGCTTGGTGTTGGGTAAGCTAAGCATTCTGTATCACTATCATAAGCGGTAGTATCGGGAGCATCAGCGCAAGTGGCATTTCTACAAGCTAATCCAGTCCAAACACAATTCTTATTTGTTGATGTGAATTTACAATTTTCTTATGTTGAATAAGATGTGCAGGCAGTTGCCAATGTTTAACATGCTGTTCCTCCATTATTCACTGTGCATTAATTGAATGTAGTATTACAACTATTATGAGTTGTTTGAATAATGTTTGCACAAGTCTTATCAACACAACTACTTCCATTCCAATAACAATCTCCACTTGCCTTAGATCCATCTCTACAATTGGATGAAACTAATGATGAACAACTAGATGGTTTAGCTATGCACCCATCAGCAGTATTATTTGAAATACAAGTATTTAAATAAGTTTAACAACCAGAAAAAGTAAATCCTCCTGCAGAGAGTGCACCTGTTGTTCCCACTGTACTAGCAGTAGCGCATGATTTTTCAACACATGAAGTAGAAGATGAGACCCATAAACATGTTGGGAATCCAACTCTTGTGATTTCACAATTTTCTGATGATTTTCTAGCTGCGCATGTTGTTGGTAAATCTTAACATCCTTAAATTGTCAAAGAACCATTAACAGTTACAGGATTATTTGCAACACAAGTTGATATGTGTCCTGTGCATTATGAAGTTGTAGTGAATGTCTTAGAGGCAGTTGAGCAAGCTTTATCAATACATTAAGATCCATTCCATCCACATGGTTAACCATTAGCTTTCAAATTGCAAGCAGCTTCAATAGTGATAGCTTCACATTTAAGGGGGAGTGGAACACATCCAGTTCCTGAATTGCTCAAGGTACATGTAGAGTGATAAGTTTAACAGTCAGCATGAGTAGTTGTGGCAGATGAAGCTAACACACATTATTTCTTATAGCATTTTCCTTTCCAAATGCATGCTCTACTACTTGTATCTTTATCACAAATAGCCAAAACCAATGAATTTTCACATGTTTTTTCAACACATCCTGCGCTTGTTGAATTTACTGTACAGGTATTTAAGAAGGCTTAGCAGAGATCATGAGTAGTGTTAGTTGCTGGAGCATTCACACATGTTTTATCTTTACAGCTTGAACTTGCAGTATCCCAGAAACAAGTTGATCCAGAAGAATTCTTAACACAAGCAGCTTCTAAAGTTATTGCAGCACATGTTGTATTTGTAACACATCCACCTCCTGATTTTGTTATACAATTATTTCCAGTGAGATAAGCTTCACATGCATCATTAGTAGTCATTGTTGTTGGAGCATTGGCACATGTTCTATTTTAACATCCACCACCTGACTTAACGGTACAAGTAGATAAATAAGATGTACATAAATCATGAGTGTTATTAGTTGTAGGGGCATTGGCACATGTTTTTTCTTTACAAGTTGTATCCCAAATGCAATCAAAATTACTTGAATTTTTAACACAAGCTGCTTGAACATTAGCAACTGAACAAGCTCCATTAGCAACACAACCACCACCAGATTTAGTGATACATCCTGTAACAAATCCTGCACATGCTGAATTAGTTGTCATGGTAGTTGGAGCATTTGCACATGTCTTATCGACACAGGCAGTTCCTGTCCAATAACAATCACCACCTGAACTATTTTTGATACATGATGCTTAAATTGTTGCAGCAGCACATGTAGTTCTAGTTACACAACCTCCATTAGCTTTTGTTGTGCATGTTCCATCAGTTCTAAATGTCTTACAAGCATCATCAGTTGTCAAACTTGTTGGGGCATTATCACAAATTCTATCTTTGCATGCAGCTCCATCCCAATAGCAAGAAGTTGTTTTTAATTTATTCCAAACACATTGAATTTCTAATGTTTAATCGCTGCAGTTATTTCCACTATCAACACATCCACCTCCGGTTTTTGTTGTACAAGTTGAAATCACATCTCTGCAATCTTTGTCTGTTGCGAATGTTGCTGGTAATTTATCACAAGTGTTGGCATCAACACAAGTGTTATTTGTTGTATCCCAATAGCATAAGCTTCCGGCAGCATTTTTGACACATGGAAGTTACTTTTTGTAAGTACTACAAGCATCAACTTCAACACAATGAGTTCCATCGGTGATACATCTATTACTGATTGCTTAACATTCAGAATCAAGTGTTTTAGCAAAAGGTGTACATCCTGTAAAGAATGTACATTTGCTTTCAACCCAAGCACAAGCGGCGTAGTTACCACAATCAGTACATGGTTTAGCTTTTGGACAATCAGTTTCAGCAAATGTATCACAATATGCTGCATAAGTCACTGTTGGAGTGACAGGAGTTGTTGAAACTCCACAAGTTTTCTTTGTTGTATCCCATGAACATCCAAGTGAAACATTTTTGATGCAATCTCCTTCTGATAACAATTATGCACATGTGCATGATGTTAAACTGTATGTTTGACTTGCTACTAAAGCAAGCAACAATGAGAATATGATGAATTTATTATTCATTAAAAGTATTAAAATTCAAAATAAACTGGATATCGCTTTTAAATTCGTTTTCAAATTAAATATTTTAATTTAATTAATGATCTAATAATATTTTCTTGTTTGTAAATCAGAATTTAAATATAATATTAATCATCATCATTAATTAATTTATTATTTGTTTTTAATGTTATAAGGGAAGGTGGGTATGTGAAGATAGCTTCAAAATGTTGAAGAGCCTGATTGGAAGCATTAAGACCTTGGTATCAAATTAAATAGGTTATTTTTTTTCCCAACTATACTAATGTGGAATTCAGATCAATTTATTCAAACTCCTGTTTCCTCCTCATCTGATCTGTAAGTCCATTTAAAATATAGTAAATTCTCCCCTTAAATGTTGATAGAACTACTCATAAAAGAAAAAATAAAAAAAAATATTTTTAGAATAGCTCAAAATTTGAATTTTATGTTCTCTAGAAAAATAATTTTGTGCTTTACAGTGGTTTGGCTATTCAAATTAGAAAAGAACTTAGTATATATAATTTTTTTTTTCTATTTTTACAATTCAATTATTATCAAATATCAGATTATTATACTAATTGAATTATATGATTAGAAATATTACATAACCAAAGTTACAATAGCTTTGTTGCTTGAAAAAATGAGAAATTCACTAACAATAAAAATCAAATTCTTTTTCATTTTTTCATTTTTGGATATATAAATTATGATGAAAATTGAAGCAGATTCAATTTATATTGCCAATAAATTAGAACCTCACTGGGAAATATCAGAAGAAAAATTTTCATTTGAAAAGGCACTAATTTGAAAAATTGAAATAAAAAATAATTAACCTAATTTTAATTCAAAAAATAAGGAGGATTTTTTTGAAAATTTTTTAAAAATTTGAACTTTATTCTCGGCTCTTTCTTCTTATATATATTTCTTAAATGTTGTTGGCTTGGAGACAAGTATAATTTTCTTGTTATTTTGAGATGTTCTATGATTATTCAAAAATGTAGTCATCAACAAATCAAATTAAGAAAAATAAATTAAGTTAAAACTAATAATAACAAAAAGCAACGGTATTGATTCAAAAACAATTTAAAGGATTAGCATTTAAAGTATATTTACTGTTTTAAGAATTATTTTTTGATTATATTCATTTTTTTTTCAACTTATTTTTTATGTTAGTATAAGAAAAATTATACTATTTTCATAATTTATAATGAAATATTTTTTTAAATTCTAATTATAGAAATGTAATTCTCTTTTTTTTTAAACAATCCTTATCTTGGTGATTTTGCAAAGTCTCTTAATTGAAAATTAAGCATCTTTCAAAGATGTTTTTAATTGGATCAACAAATGTTAATAAATAAAAATGATATAATGATTATCAGAAGCAAACCAAATAAATCATGTCATTTGCAGTGTAATAAGTTTTCACACAATATCCAGCAATAATTCACTAATTTTAGAATTATTTTAGATATTATATGAAAATATTCTTTATTAAAAATGCTTATTTACATAACAATTATAACTAATAATTGCTTATGATTTGCTAATATTCCAAGATTCTCTTTAGAGGCAAGAAAAATCTTTTAACTTCAAACTAAGACTGCTTTAATTTACTAATATTTTCCTCCTTTTAGAAGTATAAATAATAAATCAATTTTTGTGGTTTGAGAATAACCAACTACTCAATTCTATAAAAAACAAATTCACTGTTCCTCTTCATATGAAATAGATAAAAAAATAACATCGTAAATGGGCTATATACACAAAAATCTATTCTTATAACAAATAATAGGCTTCCATCGTTCTCATCTTGAGATAATATAGAAATTATACTTAATTATTATGATATTAAATAATATAATCATATAAATTTGATACTATATAAACCATCAAATTCATATACTTAACATCTCCCAGTTTCTTCTAAAATTAAGCATGCTTTGAGAATTTATTCTTAAGGTAAATTATAAAATTCTATATATTTATGTACAATAATACTTTTAGATTAATCAGTCTGACTTCCTTCAGTAATGCCTCTTAATGTCTCTGTGTAACCAATCAATTTTTTCTCCTTAGCCCAAGCATAGATTGCATCTGCCAATTCGAAAGGACTAACCAAATTTACAGAGAAATTTTAATCATTTTTCCATTCTATGGATCCTAATTGTGCCATTTAATTAAGTATTTCTTTGATTTCTGAAGAATCTAATCTCTTAATAATTCCAGAGGATGAATCTTAAAATATGGGAAAATTAAGGATTTCACTAATTGAAGATTCCAAAATTTTATGTGATTGAAAGTAAAGATGGACAATCTCACTCCATTAAGTTATTTGTTTCTTTCTTGTTTCTTTATGATCTTATAAGCTATATACTTGAGATAATGAATGTACGTGTAAAATGGAGGATATTTCAAGAGTTTTGAATGTAATTCTAATTTATCTTAAGCATCCTACATTTTAATATAAATTATTAATAAGTAAGTATATTCAAATGAATTCAAGTAATGCCACATCTTTAGGTTACTACTCTAATCCTACCCGACACAATGGACAACGTGGATCTCTTCCAAGCCATTATCTACAACATTCAGCATGAAAGTAGTGTTCTTGATGGCAAGGCATTTGAATAACACTGTGAGATTCATTTATTTGTTAATAACAAATGGGACTAAAGTAATTTAAATAAAATACCAATCATTTTATTACAATGAAGGATGTTTTTCTTTAAGAATTCTAAATTTAATGTTTTGTAATTGATCATAGAAACTGATAATCATGTTCCTATTTTATTAATAATTTAATTCTTGTCGTAGTACTATAAACCATAACATCACAAATGGCCAAACAAAGCACATAAGAACTGGAATAAACCAATAAATAATTAAGAGTACAATATATAGTTGAATAAGCATGGGAATATCGGTGGAAATAAATATTATAGTGACTAAAGTGTAGACAGAAATGAAGTAGTGTAATAATTTAATGGTAATACAATTGAAATAGAAGGATTTTTTTTCAATAATATCTATGATGAGAAGTCCGTTTACAGGACGATAATAACTTACAAATTCTTAAATGATTATTTAGGTAATGGAAGAGTTCAGAGAGAGTACATTAAATTATCTATTGAAGTTCTATACATCAATAATACCTATATATTATGTCAGAATTCTAATTATTATAGAGATTTGATTACCCAATTATTAAATAGTGAAGCATGTTAATCACATCGTGTAAACCCATCACTAAGATGAGTATACTGAAAGTAGGTTCCACTATTTCTTAATATTAGGATAGAGTAAAAAATAGTTTGATCAGATAATAGAAGCATAAAAACCAACAGAGTGCATGTCCTTCTTTGATTGCTCTAGGAAGCATAGGCATAAAGTTCTCTGTAATTATGAGTGTTTAATCTAAATAGGAGTTTTCAGCTCCAAAATTGACTTAATGGTCTTAATTCCAAAAGAGATTTGCTTCATTTATCATACAATTATAATAAAAATAATTAAAATGGAAGAAAATGATGCTTTAATAAAATCATCTGAACCATAACATACACGAAATATTATTAAGGCTCTAATAAATGAGTACAAAATTATGTATGCTGGGTTATAAAATCAGTGCTCTTTTATGTAAAACTTAGAGAATACCTTGATTATTGCTTTATAAAAGGAGCTTCTGGATAAACAGTACCATTAGCTCTACTATTACCTATTGGTCTTCTCTTAGGTAGTGTGAACATATTGTCAAAAGCTACAACCAATATTATTGAAGGTAAATACTGATGTCAAATTTAGGTGATTATATACTGACCAATTTAGTTTAAGTGATTCTCCAAATCTGTGGACTTTGCATTATTCTATATTTATTACTTAAAGCTTGTGAAGTGATACCAAAAAAGATTCAAAATCCATTACTTTTTGGAAGAGTAACAACATATATTTTTATGTGTCTACTCATAACAATGGGAATTTTAGTTGTTGAAAGAATAGTTGATGGATAGGCAAGAACTTATCATACTTCTTAATTCTGGGTTGTCTTTGTCTTAATAATATGATTTTAAGGTTAGGTTTGTAGCATTTTTATTTTTATATACTTATTACGCATTTAGAGTATCACGTTAAGAATTTAGATGGATCTATAATCTATTAAAAGCATCAGTTTATATTATTTTAGAATTATTTATGGTAATCAATAAAGAATTAAAGAATTATGCTGATTATTAATTGGAAAATAATGTATTTTACAAAATTGAAACTTAGATTCACACTAAATAAGTGATTCAAGAAGTAGTTCCTCCTATGAGAATGCTTTAATAACAATTCCTTCTTGAATCCTATCTAAAAGTATTCCCAGTTGTTATATTTGATTAAACTAAAAAAATATTGAATATATCATCTGAAACATTAAAATTATTAGGTCAAAATGATATATTTTAAGCTAAAAAACAATTAAGAAAATTGGAAATCATAGAGGTCTTTTATAGAAAGGAATAAGCATCAACTAAAGAATTGACTGTTAAATTGAGTAGATAAGCAAAATTTGGATCTTCTTGTGGAGTAAATGAAAAAGGAGATTTATTACATTCTTTAATTAATGGTCCAGCCTTACAAAAATTGAGATAATAGTTATAAGTTGATTAGCCAAGCTTATAAACTTAGGGATAGTAAGAAAAGCTATTAAATGAACTTATAAAATGGGATCAAGAATACTTAAAAGGTTTATTAATGTTAAAATTGAGTAAGGAAAAGTAATACTATTTTTCATTTCATTTGTTTCGTAATAATAAGATTTATCTATTTTTGGATGATGTTTCTGAAATAGTTAAATTATAAATAAAAATAAAGGATGAAAATGATGAGATCAAAGATGTTAAAGATATTAATATCTAATTATCTGAGATTCGTTAAATTTCAACAATAAAGAGCTATCCTATCTTAACAAAAATATAAAATATTGAAATAAAATCTTGTTATTTAGAATAGAATTAATTGAGAATAAAATATGATAATATTAATTTCGATCAAATTTTAAGAATATTATCATTAACAGATTCCAAAAATAAAATATTAATTTAAAAATCTAGTAAAATTGAACACTAATTTCTTTACAGATGAAGAACGTCTTCGATAGATTATTGATATATTAATGGAGAATAGTATAGAATAAACAAAGGATGGATTTATTGGTATAACAATTGAAAATGATGCCAGACCAAATTGCATTCAAATATCTATACAAGATACAGTTAAAGGGATTAATCTAGATGAACTTAAGGATAAATCAAGTACTAAACTTTCTGGTCTNTATACGATTTTAAGGTTAGGTTTGTAGCATTTTTATTTTTATATACTTATTACGCATTTAGAGTATCACGTTAAGAATTTAGATGGATCTATAATCTATTAAAAGCATCAGTTTATATTATTTTAGAATTATTTATGGTAATCAATAAAGAATTAAAGAATTATGCTGATTATTAATTGGAAAATAATGTATTTTACAAAATTGAAACTTAGATTCACACTAAATAAGTGATTCAAGAAGTAGTTCCTCCTATGAGAATGCTTTAATAACAATTCCTTCTTGAATCCTATCTAAAAGTATTCCCAGTTGTTATATTTGATTAAACTAAAAAAATATTGAATATATCATCTGAAACATTAAAATTATTAGGTCAAAATGATATATTTTAAGCTAAAAAACAATTAAGAAAATTGGAAATCATAGAGGTCTTTTATAGAAAGGAATAAGCATCAACTAAAGAATTGACTGTTAAATTGAGTAGATAAGCAAAATTTGGATCTTCTTGTGGAGTAAATGAAAAAGGAGATTTATTACATTCTTTAATTAATGGTCCAGCCTTACAAAAATTGAGATAATAGTTATAAGTTGATTAGCCAAGCTTATAAACTTAGGGATAGTAAGAAAAGCTATTAAATGAACTTATAAAATGGGATCAAGAATACTTAAAAGGTTTATTAATGTTAAAATTGAGTAAGGAAAAGTAATACTATTTTTCATTTCATTTGTTTCGTAATAATAAGATTTATCTATTTTTGGATGATGTTTCTGAAATAGTTAAATTATAAATAAAAATAAAGGATGAAAATGATGAGATCAAAGATGTTAAAGATATTAATATCTAATTATCTGAGATTCGTTAAATTTCAACAATAAAGAGCTATCCTATCTTAACAAAAATATAAAATATTGAAATAAAATCTTGTTATTTAGAATAGAATTAATTGAGAATAAAATATGATAATATTAATTTCGATCAAATTTTAAGAATATTATCATTAACAGATTCCAAAAATAAAATATTAATTTAAAAATCTAGTAAAATTGAACACTAATTTCTTTACAGATGAAGAACGTCTTCGATAGATTATTGATATATTAATGGAGAATAGTATAGAATAAACAAAGGATGGATTTATTGGTATAACAATTGAAAATGATGCCAGACCAAATTGCATTCAAATATCTATACAAGATACAGTTAAAGGGATTAATCTAGATGAACTTAAGGATAAATCAAGTACTAAACTTTCTGGTCTCTTTATAGCAAATTATTTGAATAAAATGTTGGGAGTTTCATTTTATAATAAAAAGATTAATTGACATATAGCAAATAAAGGATTGAGAATTATCACAACATAAGAATATGGCACCAAAATTTCATTTACAGTCAGAAATATGATATATCAGAATAATGTGTAATTTCTTCTTGATGAGAATTTAGAAAAGATGATTAAAATCAAGATGAAATAATTGAGAGATACATAGTTGAAGATTAAACTCAATATTTGAATAGATTTAAAAAGTATTAATATTATATATACTTAGACCTATTAAATATATTGTAATGAAAAATGAAGAGAAAAAAGTAATTTAAGTACTAGAAGACAGAATAATTAAGAGACCTCAATTAAAAGGTATGATGAAACTATAGGAATCAGGAAGATTGAAATCTCTAACTACTCAAATGGAATAAATATAATTCCCTTAAGAAAAATGTATGTGTGAAAATAAATTAGTAATAAATAGTGATTATTAATTTACATCCATTTTGAGAGATTTTAATTTCTAAATTGTTAATGAATTTGAATCTTTGAAAATAATTAATATAAAATTAAAAGAGAATCCATGTATATAAAAAGGATGTATGGCATTCAATAAAATTTACATTAATAGTTCAAATCCAAAAGTCAATTATGATGAGTACTATTATTATTTACTTTTATTTTAGTTTGATAAAGTAGTTGCTTCTATTGAATAAACAATAAAATATCATAGTCCTTTCATATCATCCTTGGGGAGAAATACAAACAAACATAACATATTATTAAATGCCAACTAAATTAGATATTATATTTAAGTGATATATACACTAATAACATCATTTATTTCCTTCTTTTTCATAACAACTTGCTATTCCACTTAATCCAATTTCTAATTAAGCTGGTTCAAGATTTTCTCTAATTTATAATCCTTAATATTATCTATTCTTATAAAAATCTAAAGTTTAGAATATTTTATCTAATGCTATTAATTGATTTTCATTATTTTAAGCTAATAGAGCAGTGCATTCTTCTTATTTATTTATTTATTCTTTTTGAATAATTTGATTATCTTCTTATTGTTATTCTTATTCAAGTAAACTTAAATCACTTTAGACTAAATATCTAACATCTGAAAATGCTTAAAGTAATTAAAAGGGAGTGATGATCAATTTATAATACTTTTTGGTATCAATAATAGAATTTCTATAGCAACTAATTATAATATAGGCTTCAATTTCAGGAAAATTTCCAAGTTTAGCTTCATTGAGACTGTTCATTGAAAATGTAAAGTATTTTTTTTAATTATTTTTTAAAATCTATTTACATGCTTTATATGCATTTTTAGTATATTTAGCAGTAGAATTATTAATTAGAATACCAAAACATTTACATTCAGATGCTTCTTCAACTTATTTTGTTCTTTTGATTATTAATGGCATCTAATTAATTGATAATATTTAATGTTAACATGTAATAGGATCTATGATATAACATTTTTCTATTTTTCCATATTCAAAATGTAAAATAAATCTTTATAACAATTCACTATCTTCAGATCCTATAAATATTAATTATTTTCTTAATTCAGCTGCATGATAACCACAAGCAATATGTTGTATTTATTATTAATTCAATTACTTTTAGAATTAAAGAAATATGTGTTTACTTTCATCAATCTAAATGTGATCATATTTTTAATCAAATAAAACCCAAGATGATTATTCAATTGATTCTATAGATTTAATTAATGCAGCTGAATCATATTCAAAATAAGGTAATACATACATAATATTATCTGATTGAGATTCTGAGAAGCATGTTTCTCCAAAATGAATAATCAAATCATGTTTTATATGACGTGCTCCAATTACATTAACACAACAGGATGAATGTAATGGATCAGCTGAAATAATGAATTACTTATTTGGGTATTTTTTATTTAGTTATCTCCACACAGTTTAAGATTCTTGTAATTAATTACTAGGAAATTAGATCACAATCTTCTCAAAATTCTCTAAATTTAAGTTGTCAATTCTATACATAAATTAAAAATATATAATTAAACATATATAAATTTTAAATAATATTTAATTGAGTAATTAATTTAAATATTATTTAGATCTAATAATTGATTATGAATATAAAGATATATAAATATATATAAATTAATTATTTCACTGCTATTTATTTGGAGTGTGATTAAATCTCTAAGAATGTATTGATGGGTATCCAACAAAATTAATTTTAACTTCATTTTAATTTTAACTAGTAAACATATTGTCAATCTATATATATTTATATAAAATGAGTTAGTGAATATAATTTTTATCTAAAAATCAAATTAGTTCATTAATAAATTGAAATGCCATTTCTTTAATATATAAGTCGACTCTCTAGCTAGTAAGGTATTTTAATTCAGGCATAAGATTATATATAAGCTGTTATTAACACTCTTTATAATTTGGTGTCCAAATCCAAATAGAATTAAAAAAATATTTTAGAATATAAGATTTTTTTATTTCTCTGTTAATTTCATTAATCATCATTTATTCATCCTCTTATGAAATTTCAAGCCTAGTAATCTCTTTAATTTTTTCTAATGAATTTCTTATAATAATTAATGTATTATCTGTCAATAATGATTTAATCATGCTCTTCCAAAAGATTTCTTATTATTCACACAATTTGTTAAAATCAATTTCTTCTAAATTTTTTAAGGTATTCTACTTTATACTTTCAACAATTATTGATATTAATCCTAAAATCACATCCTCTTAAAAAAAACCTTCATTACTATTAAAACAATGTAAAGTTGTAAAAAATAGTTTTGATATCCCATATTCCATTTTTTTTCGATATTCATTTATTTTTTGAAATTCTGTGTAATAATCGTTATAATTGTTATGGGATTTATATATTTAATATGATTGCCTTATAAAATTTTATGCTTAATAAATATCCTTTTGCTGATATAGAATGTGAAAAATTGATTAATTCAAATATTAAATGTATCTAAACTGATGAAAGTTTGTTTCGAAGACTTTAATTATTTATATCATTATTTGTATAATAGAAGTAGAGGCCGACTATTTGTTTTATTAATTCTCAAAGATTGGACATTAAAAGCCTGTAAATACAATTTAATATTCAATGTCTACATAAGCAATAGAGAGTAGTTTATTATTTTAAATAAGTTTTAACCATATTCTATTAGATGTTAAATAACAATGATCTAATTTATTTTGCTATAACTCTATAACTTTCTTAAGTAGATTTTCACATAATCTCAATATCTATCCTAGTGATATTAACACTAATCCTTTTTCCTTATTAGAATAAGTATATAATTACAATCCAAAGCATTAAATCTCTTAAGCGAATACAATTCTTCAAATTTATAGTTTATTTAATCCATCGTTGATTAGGTATTTCTTCAATTATGCCTATTTAATTTAATGAGAGTTCCTTATAAAGTTATTATTTATTTTCATATTGAAAATATTCAATAATATCATAATCTATACCTTTCATATATATTTTTAATAATGATATTAAATTTATCACTTATTTATATGTTTATATAATTAGTTGATAACAAATCATTACCACTTAAGTTATATATATGAATATTTACTATATTAAGATAGTTTTTAAGAATAAAATGAGAGAATAATTTAATCATATTTTTGATAGTTATTTTAACTAAACTTAATTAGTTAATTGATTTAATAAATAAAGAGGATATAAATATTAGAATATGTAATAAATCAATCAATTTTTATGAGTTTATTTTAATACTTTATTAAAATTGATTGCCAATATTTCTAAACCTTTTTTTAGTAAAAAATAAACCAAATTGCATATTTAATGATATTGTTTGAGTAATATTCATTGATGTAATAAATCAAAAGAAAAGTAATCCATTATTAGATATTTGATATATATTTATCTGATTTCAATTATTTCTTTTGATCATTTTGGTTATTAAGCAATCGTAATGAATATTAGATGGGTAAAATGATAGCTACAACATCAATCAATTTTTCAGTAATAAAGGAGAATAATATTTACAGGAGGAGTATTTAATATGGTGATTTTAAATATATATTCATTAATTATATATATATAATATTGTATTGATTAAATGAAATAACAACATAAATGTATTTTATATAAATTTTATCATATATTTATTAATGATTTGATTAATTAAAAAGATTTATGAGGTTCCTCTTTTGGATTCCAGATTTTAATTAAATTTAATTCTCATAAATAATTATTTAAAGTAGAGGATGAATAGCTAGATTTTGATTATTGAATCAGCATTATTATTTGTATCTGTGATTGCTTTGTTTATTTTTAAAGAGTGGGAATGTAATCAAAAGATAATTAAGTTACTATTTTCTATATCAAATATAAGTATATTTTTATTGGAAATAAAGCATATAAGTGAATCAAATTGTAATTATACATTATTGAAAATTAGATGTTTTAATAGCTATTTCAAGTTTTATTATGATATTATTTTCTTATAAAGAGTTAAAGAAGGAGAAGAATGAAATACCTTAGATATAGATAATAAATACCTAGCTATCCGAGAGAAATAATAAAGTGGATTAAGAAATAGAATTACCTAACCAACTGCCAGTGATTCCTTCAATTCATGAGAGTAATTCTAGTATAAAGGATGATAATAATAAAATATAAAGTAATTTTTAAGGGGAAAAAGCTGAATAATAAAATATAAGATAGGATTAAGGAATGAATTATTTGGGTGATAATAAAAGGCCTTCATTTTAATTGAAAAATAATGTACCTTAAGTTTTAATAACTCGTTAATAAAGTGTGGCTTAAATTTAGCGTAAGATATTTATATATATGTATCTATAGCTAATTTGAATGTAATTAAATTTTAAGATGACTTTGGTGAAATCAAATTTGGAATACTTAAAACCCTTAAGTCAGTTGCATATGATTAATTAGGTAGGGAAGTGGAATGTATATTTCAAAGTGATAGGCCGCTTACAAAATTACTGTCTACAGTTGAATAAACTAATTAGCCTAGAATGTAGATCTTATATGAAAGTAAAGTATAGCAGAATTAATATGTGGATGATACATTAAGAGGAGCAATTCAATTAGATGATTTAGAATATGATGAGAAGAAAAAAGAGAAGAAAATTACATGGTAAAAAATAATAAAAGCATTAATTTTAATAATTATTTTAAATCTAAATTTTATAATATTTGATAATTGGAAGTTGCTATAATTAATATTAATTTATTTTATTATGTAGAGACAAATATTGCAATATAAAAAATTGATAGCAAATTAATTAGAATTAAAATGTGAGATAAGAGATATACTCATATGGTTGGTATTAATAGGTCTTCCAATTATGATTGTTTTAGTTATAAATCTTATAGATAAGACAATAGGGAGATAGATTTTATAAATGGCTAGTTGGGTTAGTTTAGTTATAACTTCTAAGTACAATAAACATTGTTAAGAGTATTTAATTTATTTACAATTAGTTATTTTTATGGTTGTTTATGCTACATTCTTGTATTGACCATAGTACTATGTTTCATTTGATATATATATATATACATTACTCAAATTGAAAATACATATAAAGGATTTTAATATATTTCTTAAATTTATAATGAATTAATAGTATTTAAGGAAGAAATTAAAGATTAAAACAACTACTGATACTCCTCTTATTCCAAAAATAATGTCTACAAAAAATGAGTAATCGTAATTCATTGAAACTAATCGAAAACGTTATATAAAAGCATTTAGTCCATAGCGTTTTTAATTGCCGCAAATAGTTTAACCTTAATTGAGTTAGATTACACCATTACGATAAAGAGGGAAATCTGAAAGTGTTAGAGAATATTCAATAGGATTTTTGGGACCTAATGATTTTGTTCGTTTATTATAGACAGATTAAAATTTGGGATAGGAATTTTGTTATTTGAACAATTATGGTAATCCTTATGAATGGAAGGTTGTAAATTATGATGATAGAAATATGGATTATTATATGACTATAAGTGGAAGGGGAATTATAATACATCATAGTAATTTTGAGGAATTTGTGTCTATAAAACAATTTGAAAATGACAGGAAATTATTTTATAGATTACAAAAGATAGAGTTCTTTCGAAATTATCTGAAACAAAAAACATTCACTAGATGGAAGAAGTTAAGTATTAAAAATAAAGCATAATCAATTTCTAAGGAATTAACAACTAGTTATTTACTCTTAGATTAATCACTTAAGAGACCCATAGAAGAAATTCATAAATATACTTAAAGAATAAAGGGTTTAGTATTTTTTTCACCTACATAAATGAGTCCTGTAAATTAAACAAAATTCATATAGAAATTATAAAGATCTTTAAATGATTTCTAAAAAGAATTAGCTAAGAATATTAATTTAATATTGAAAATAGTTGTTGATGCATGTCAATATTCATTTAGTATATTTAAAGAAGACCAAGGTTATAGGTAGAATTTAGAATTGATAAGGAATTCTTAAATGGAATAAAAACCTCTAATAATTGGTGTATTTATGCTCTTCTTATAATTAGGATAATTCTACATAGTCAATGTAATTCACAATGGAATCAAATTTGAGATAATTTCAATAGAAATTAATTAAATTTACTAGAATGATAGATTACATTTAACTTGAGAGTATGATAATATTGATGTACAATTCTATAGTTAATTTCTTAAAGGTAATTAAGAATGCTAATAAACATCTCAAAATTGGGTAATTAATATTATTATTAAATAGAACAACTTAATTTAGTTGGATAGTTGTGGAGATTCATTTGTAAGAGGGATCTATAGTGTTTGAACCATCACTTAAAGGTATGTTGGATATATTTGTTTAAACAATTGATAAGGCTATAGATATCATTGAGTAAGGCATCTAATCAACTAGAAAATAATAGGATTTATAAAATTATGGAGTTGGTTCAAGTTCAACAGATTTAAGATAGGATTTGAGGGAATATGGAAGAATTAATTTAAAATAATATGATTATATAGAGGAACTTGGAGAAGAGTTAAAATTTAGTTATAAATAAATAGAACATTATATGTTAAAGATATAGATTTTATTGGATGAATTTGCAAAAAGTGAAGATTAATTATTGAATGCAGAAGTATTGAAATTTCAATTTTAATTGATATCTGAAATGTAAAGTGAGATGGAAACAATAGAGAATATAGTGGATATTGGATTTTTGAGATTGAACATTTAATTATTTAAATTGTAAATGTAAACTTTTTTTAAGAATAAGATTTAAGTTATAAATTAGAATGTAGATATGGAACTTAGAGGGAAATGTAAAATATTATAAGAAACAATATAAGAATGGTTAGAGAAATTGAAATTGAAACCAGTTACATTGAAATAATATGTAATACATCAAGAGAATTATTTATTGATTAAATCAAATTATGAAGCAATAGATTAATAAATAGAAGAATTACATGTTTATAATAGAATTTATATTCATTAAGATTAAACAATTCCTATAAAGGATATTTGGGATAAGATAGTTAGTTAATATTAATTATTTTAATATAAGTATTATGATTTATAAAATTAATATGGATTAGTTTAAGATAAGTTTGAGAAGGAATTTAGAAAATTGACACCATTTTTTCATTAGAAGGTATTATAATTTTGTGAATAATTTGAAAATAATAAAGATATTGATGATATTAATTCGATTTCATAATTACAAGGATAATTGATTACTTTGGAATTAGAATATGAAGATTTAAAGTAGTATTCACATTCTTTGTAAATAGAATAATATCATAATGAATAGTTACATGAGATAAAGAACAAATATGTTTAATTTAAGTAATTATAAATAGAAATTCATAAGATCAAGAATTTACAATAGGAATGGATGAGAGAACATTTTCTTGATTTGAATCTATCTATTATAAAGACAACTTATTAAAATCTATTACATTAAATAGAAGATTGTAAAATATTTGGTTAATCTTAATTGACATAAATTAAAACATAATTGATAAATGAATTAAAATTATATAATGTAATTGAAATCATATTACAAATAAAAGATTATGATTAAAATATTGTAGCTTAAGTATGTAAGAAAGACAGATAATAAGATAAAAATTTATTGTAATTAATATTATAAATATGTAATAATCCTTCACATCCAGTATTTACTACTTAATATTTATAATAATCAGATATAAATGACTAATAAGATAATTTATAATAATTATTAATAATAATTTAATATGAAAATTAAACAATGAATTCACTTATTAAATTAGAAGAATTTTGGAAGAATCATAAATTACTTATTTAAAAAATAAAAGGAACAAAAGATCAATATTCTATTATTAATTTAAGTTAATTAAATGAATAATTAGATGAGAATATTTTGATTATCAATAATATTCTAGGATAACCAAATATAGATGATTTAAGAAATAGAATTGATTTACAATTAAAGAATATAGTTTATCTATAAGAATATATCAATTAATTAACACTCTTATAAGACACATAATATTATTTAACAAATGTTTTATCAACTCAAATTAATCAAAAGAATTAGAGTAAGGAAATGAAAATGTATTAGCATTAAGAAAAATAGTGGAAACAATTAATAAGATTAATTTAATAATAGAAGAGTTTAGAAGTATGGATTAAAGATGAAAATGAGAAGAAATTCTTAAAATAAATACAATAAGATAATTAAAATTGTAAAAGTATAATACAATAATTAAATGAATAATTTGATAAGAAAAAGTATTTATTTCCAAGATTTAATTTTCTTACTAATTCATAATTTAATAAGGTTGTTTCTGAAGTTAAACATCCTGCAGCTATGTAGCAATATTTAAGTTTATTTTTCCAAAATATTCATTAATTTGATTATGATCAAAATAAAGAAGCTGTTACATCATTATATTCTAAAGAAAATGATTAAATAGCTGTTAAGTATTGTCCTATGAAAGGAGAGATTGAGGATTGGTTTAAAACAGTAGAAGAAGGTATGAAATAAGGATTGAGATAAATAATTAAGAATGCTTTGAAACATGCTGATAATTATTAATAGATTGTGTAATATCCTATTTAAATTATATATATATGTATGACTATTACTTATACAATGATGTTGGATGATATTCTTTAAAATGATGATAAGGATTGGAATGAATTAGTTGAATTTAAATAATATGAAATATAAGAATAAATAAAATAATTACATTCTGAAAAATAATCAATTAAATAATAATTAAGATAGATTGCAATAATTATGATATTGAATAATTAAAAAAATTTAATTTAGGAAATAAATTAATTTAAAATTAATAGTGATAAAGATTACTTTTATTTAAAATAAATTAAATATTATTATGATGATGAAAATATAATTGTTAATTTCTTAAATAATAAAATCTAATATTAATTTGAATTTTTTGGTGATGAATTTAATTATCATTCATGGAAATAATCTGAATAATCTATTTTACTTATGAATCAAGCATTCTAAATAAATCAATTACCACATCTTATTGGTCATTATAGTAAATATTACATTATAACATAATATTCATAAATTTTAGGACGTTATTACAAATAAATGTAAATTACAAGTCAGGATTATGATTTCTAATATTTATTATAATGTATCTATGGATCAATATAATCTAATTCCTTATTTATTATCTCAGGATATTAATATTTATAATAAGATGATAGATTAATCTTATAAAGTATATTTAATTAAATTTGTAATGCTTTATGGTAATAATTATAGATTTAGGATTAAGAAGGAAGATAATTGAAATTATAAAATAAACATTTTCTAACTCTTATATCAGATGTCCATTATCCCATTCTATCTTTTAAGAATATTCATGTCTATTAACCTGATATAATGATTCTATGGTAAGCACTTATTTAAATAATATACAATTAAGATATTGTTGAAATATTAATGAAATTGATATAGACATTAATTAGTGTTTTTGGTAATGATTTGTTTAATCTTGCAAGATTTAATTCATTTAATTAAGTAGTTAAGACATTGAGAACTATTAAATTGAATGATCTTTTTGATTTATTACAATATCATATGAATAATGCAGATAAGTTATTATTTAATTCTATAGTAAATGAATATTTTTAAAACAGAGAAGAAAATAGATATGAAATGGAAAAATTGAATTAATTACTTAATGAAAATAATCTTATTTTAGTATATGGTTAACCAAATAATGGAAAAAGTAAATTGATATAAGAATTATTTTAATTTAAATTTGAATAAGAAAATACAAATTAAAATGAAAATAATCTATTATAATCAAGTAAATAAAATAATATTCTTTATCTTGAATTAGATGCTTATGATGATGAAGATTTGTTCAATATTTTATAATATTCTCAATAATATAGATATTATCATTTTATTATTAATTTTAAATAGAAGTAAGTCTATTTTAAATAAGAGAACATTATATTTTTTAATAGTTTAATATATTCTAATAGAAATGTAATTTTTGAAAGTAATGATCTTTCAATATAGGATCCTGCTTCTTTAGTTAATTTTACATTATTTTATTATACTAATAGTATTTCCAATCAACAATTTCTTATTCAAGAATTAAAATATGTTAATAATTTAGAGTTGTAAACATTATTGGCTCGTAATTTGATTAATCAAATAGAATAATATTATTCATTATTGTTAAACTTTCCATATTCATTATAATATGTATTAAGATGTTCTGCAAAGGTTTTAAGTATTTACTATAATGAACAATAATACAGTAAATATACATAATTGGATGTTGAAAACATAAGTACGTATGCAACTTACACATTGTTCTGTTTGATTTTGGATTAAGAAAACAAATCTCGTGTTGTTTAATAGATATAAATGGTTATTCAGGAAAGAAAATTAGATCAACTATTTAATCAAAAATCTTCATACAATAACACTATATTACAATATTATTTTAATCAATAAGAATTATATGCTATTTAAGAGTTGTAGAGTCATATACTATTTTATGGTGATATTTCATGTAATAAGAGTATTTTGGCCAAATTGAAATCATCAAGTGGATTATATTTTAGTACTAGAACAAAATCAACTGAATTATAAGAATTTATAGATAAGAAATTGATGACATATAGAAAGGATAGATAATTATATTTGTCTCCACCATTTGGATAAATTAAACATTTTATAGTGGAAGATATTAATGTATCAAGTTAATGTCGTATATTTATTAAGTAATTAAATGAATGCAATTATATGTTTGATAAGAAGAATAATTATTAATTAAAATATATTAGTAATTTTTATTTGTTAGGTACTTCATAAGAATAATTAATTGATAAACATAATTAATTTAAAAATTTTGTATTTATTAATACCAGCAAATCTCCATTAATTTAGAATATCTATACTGAAATAATAATTGATATGGCAAAAGATAAAGTTAAATAATATTTAGAATTGGGTTATATTAATGATGGAATCTTAAAATTAAAACATAAATTCAAATAGTGTTGGGATAAGTAATGGTGTTTTCATTATTTATATGATAATAATACTATTTGGTACAGAATTTTACATCCTTTACTTGTACTAAATGATCCTTAATAGTTTGTTAATCAATTCTATCAAAATATTATGAGAATTATTGGTGGTTAAATGGATATAGTAGATTTAGATAATTTGGATAAATTTGTTAAGGAATTAAATTTTGGAGATTATCCTATAGAAATTTTTGTTTAATAGACTAAGTAAATGTATGATGAAATCAAAAAAGAGAATGTGTAAAATTTATTTTTACATGAAAGTCATTTGGAGAAAATTATATGTATAATGAGGGGATGGTAATATGATTAACATATTATAATTCAAGGTAGGATTGGAAGTGGTAGGAATTCATTTATTCGATTGGCTTAATTGATAATGTAATATGAATAGAAATACAATGATTTTGGACTCAATGATTTATTGTAAAATTGGGATTAATAGAATCATATCACTTATGTTATTAATATTAATGATAATGTGTATGAATTCATATCTTATCCTATTTAGTATTGTAATAATTTATGTTTATTGAAAAATGATTAAATTTAATAATTACATTTATGTATATTAATAGAGAATATGAAGGAACTTGATGATTATAAAAGAATACTCTATAAATGTTAAATTGTTAGATTATTTGATTGGCCTAAGATCTTTTAATAGGATATTGCTACTTAAATTCTTAATGATAGATCTATTGATACTAATCTATTTTGTAAGGTATTTGAATAATCATAAGGATATATACAATAATTCATTGATTAACTCTATTTATTCTAAAAATAATATTAGTAATCCAAATCAGAAAATTAGAGATTGATTATTATTTATTAGAAGGTTTTAAATAAGATTGAAGAAGCAAATACTGAATTCAATACAATAACAGCTCAATATAATAAGTACAATTAGGAACATTAGGAGGTTACAAATTAGATGAATATTATAAATAATGAGATATCTAAGGATAAATTAGAATTAGGAGATATCAATTAATAAATAAATAAATTAAATGAGAATATCAATAAATGTGAATAGAAGATAATTAAATAATAATAATAATTAAATTAATAATTTCAATAATATAGTAAATAGAGATTACAAAATTTTCACATAATTTAAGAATTCCCATTCTTATAACCATTATCAATGGAATTAGTACATTTAGTTGATTTACCATAATTGGAATTATATTAAATTGATTAGATTAATATGAAATATCCATAATCTTCATAATAAGTTTAAACTATCTATTAGATTGCTATAAATATATGTAATTATTAATAAACATTAATTCAATTATAAAATAATATACATAATGATAAGGTAGCATTAGAAGAGATGAAAAATAAATAAGAATTACGAACTGTTATGATATCATAATAGGAATAATAAATAAATATTTATTAATCTAAATCACGTATATTGACAGATGAATTAGATAAGATAACAAATATATTTGAGGCAACTAGAAAATGTTTGAAATATTTGAATAATTATTAAGTTTAATGGTAATAGAATATTTTTAATTTATAACAATAATAAATTTAGTTAATTGATATTAATTTTGTTTAAAGTATTTGTTAAAGTTATAATTAATAAATTAAGTAGAAATTAATAGATAATTTAAATTTATAATGTAAATTAGATTATGAGAATATGTAATTACTATTAAATTTAAAATTTTAAAATTAGAAGAATATTATATTAATAATTGATCCTGAAAATTTATCATAAGAATATCTATAATAATTCTATCCAACTGCATATGTTAATACATTTCATTTAAATAATATTAATGAAATCAAAAATAATTATTAAACTCAATAATGTTTCATAATAAAAGATGTTATAATCAATGAATTATTGAATTCATAATAATGGAGATCATTTATATTGTAATTTCAATAATAATAGGAAACTAAGATATACTTTATTTCCTATTAAATTAAACATGAAACTAAAGCTTAATCTTTATTAAGAACTATTTATTTCAAGAAATAAGATAAAGAAATTGAATCATTTGCTTTATTAAATATATTATAAAAAGAGAATCCTGATCTATTTGATAAATTAATATAATAATATGATGAAGAGAATCTATCTCTTATTAATTTGGGATCTCTCTTAGATGATGATCGTCCTATTATGGATTCTCATTATGAATAATAATTGAGTCTATTGATATCTTCTTAATTTAATAGCATAATTAATCTAGATATTATTACATAAATTCAAGAATTAGTTGATTAATAAGAATAATAAAAATAATATAATGGATAATTCAATTTTGAAATTTATCATCCTTTAATGGTTAGATTCTTATTAATTTATAAAAGTCTCTAATAATCATATATTTTTGATCGTCGTTATTATATTACAATGTAATAATTGTTAGATAAATTAATTCAAGTTATGGATTAAATAAAGGGAGACAGTTCTGAAAGATATTGGATTATAAGTAATCATTTCACATTATAGATTATGCATTTAATAGAACATTCATTTAAATTGGAACATCATTTATTAATGAAATTCATTTTATTTACTCAAATAGATTTAAGAAATAGAACCATCTCTTATGATTAATATTAATATATTTTAGGTCAATAAGTATAAAAAGATTTGAGTAAATATCCTAAATCTTTAAATGTTTCATTTATAAAACAAGAATAATGGGATGATATTAGATACATAATGAGTTTGTCACCATCATTTGATGATTTACATTCTTAAATCTTAAGATATCCTAAGGAATGGTAGAAATGGTTAGATGATACTTTCTCAATACCTAATGAATATGATGAGAAATTATAAATTTTTGAGAAACTCATCTTGATTAAGGCTTTCAAACCTAAATAAATGAGAAGATTTATATATGAATACATAAAGGATAGATCAACAAGACATTCTACTTAAATTAAAACTAATAAGAAATATTAATCTACTGAAAAATAAATCATATATGTCTAATCATAATTAAGAAAATTAGTAGAAGATATCAATATTCCTATTTATAAAGGATAACAAGAACTTAATCAACAATATTTATTTATTAATTTATCACATTATCCCTTAGAAGTCTAAGAACAAATTATATAAAGCAAATATCCACATTGTATTATTGAAAATTTTGATGAAGATCTTTTACTTGATAAGACATTATTGAATTGTTAGAAATCTTTTCTATAATATGATGAATAAATACGTTAGAATATTAAAAAATATATACCAAAAGTTGATGGTAATACTAGTGAAATGAAAAAGTTTACATACAGTTTATGTTATATGCATTTTTTCATTATTTAAAGGAATCTACTCTTAAATTTGACTTCTGAAACATATACAGTATCAGATTTAAATCTAATATTGAAATTCAATTTACCATACTTCATCAATAGTAATATCAATAGTATGTTTAAAGTAATAACTGATGGAATATACAATGTTCCACCTGAAGATTAATTAACAATAGAAAGTATTATTTATAAACATTGTAACTAGTAAGTAAATACTGAAAATTATTAGTATTTACATTTTCAAACACTTCCAATTGGTAGTGATGTATGGTTAGATGAGATGATTAATCGAATTCCAGATACAAATGATACATATAGTATAGGTTATGGAAATTACAATTTTGCAATATATAATTAATAGAATTAATAGATAATTCAATAATTCTAATTATTAACAAATAACAATACTGTTTAAAATAAGTAAATTACTAAGGTTAAATTAGTTGAACCACTTAGTTTAATTAAATTAGAATAAAAATTAACAAGAAAGTATTCATTTTAAAAAAATGATTCAAAACCCTTTTCTTAATATTATAGAAAAACAGCACTTAATATTATAAATAAAAATAAATAAAATATTTAATATACAGATGCTATAGATCAATATATTAATATTTAAATTTAAAAGTATAATATATTGATAGAAGAATTGAATGAATATATCAAAAACAATCCACATAAATATAATATGGATTGTCCATAAGAATTATATTAATATTTATGGTATAAACCAAAATCTAAATTATTAGTACATAATTTAATAGAAATGATTAATTCTAATGTGTATCAATTAAAATTATTAAGAGATTCATAAAATAGAAGATATTTTGATTTAAGTTATCTATATATTCCATAAGCATTATTGGAATACTTTAAATTATAATTTAGTCGTAAGAATGGTCTCAATCCTTGGAATCTCAATATTTATACTGAAATTTCAAAATGTATTGAAATAAATCATGTCTAATAATAATAATTGAATGATGGTTCCTATCTACTTGGAGGATTAGAATGTTAGAATTGTTAATGGAGTTTGGATAAACATAAATTAATAGAATGTGGTAATTCACCTTCAACTTTGATTCCTTATATCCTTGTTTCTACTTTGGAAGGTGAATAACCATAAGAATTATAGATATAAATAATGGATAATGATCTAATATTAATGACAATAGATTTATAATCAGATCTTGATTAGGATACTATTAATATAAGGAAAGCAAGAATAGTAATAAAAGGTAGATGATTTCTTATAACGAAATGATTATTTTTATATACACAAAAATATAAGCAATTTCAATTTGTTTACTTTAATTTACCTGTTAATTCTAAATTTTTGCGTTTTTCATCAAGATATTTTGCAAAATGATAATTTGATCTTAATGTTTCACTCCAAGTTAATTTTTATAAAATATCCTATCTCCTCATTGAAGCTAAATTAGTTTAAGTTTCTGAAATGGCTTTCATTAATAACTTTTCATTTACAATTGTATCCATTCGTCTTTTTAAAATCTTTTATGAATTATCAACAGCATTAAACCACAATTATTCATCTTAATACATTTTAATAGCTTCATCAGCAAATTATTCATCAGTCCAATTATTAAAACTACCTCCAAATGTTAATTTTTTAGCCATTTCTTCAGTATTATCATAAGTATAATATTCCTTCATAAAGTTTTCTTCCTCTAAACTTTCTTTCCTAATTTATGGAGTAAGACGATCAGGTTCCATATCAGAATAGAATTTAGATTATATTTGATTAACACATTCATATTTAATAGCTTAACTTGATTCTAAGAATAAACCTTCAGCACCAATTGGTGTTGTAATAACAGGTAACATTTCTCTCCAAGCATCTGTGATTTTTCCCTTTACTCCAGCACCAAAACGTAAAGGTGCTAACATAACTCTATACTTTCCCAAAATATCAATCTCTTTCATTAAACCTTTGCATATAAATCCATTATATTCATCTGTTTTGAATTCTGCTGGGAAATTACTACCATAAATATGTAATTGTGCTTATGGAAGTGCTTTGACAATTATTGGCCAGATTTTATCTTTTAATCTTTTTACTGCATCATAATTAGGTCTATGTGACATATTACCTAGAAATACAAAATGTCTTCTTTTATAATGATATTATTTTAGTTCTATTGCTTATTTATCTTCTTCATCTAAAGGTCTTGTAGTTGGATAAAAGAATGTTACTAATTAAACCTTCTTATTTAAATGTTTTATCAATTCCATTTCATAATCTGAACATGCAATAATGAGATCACTTCTTATTATTGCAGCCATTTCTTTATCAGTAAGTTCATCTCCTAATTCTGGTTTTGCTTTCAATACTTCCTTATTCATCAATTCAGAAGTGAGTAAATTTTCTCTCTTCAATCTTAAACTATGTAAGTCTTGTAAATCCAAAACTTTAGCACAATTCTAGAATACTTAATGTACATAATGACTGTACAAGCATTCTGATACATGAGTATCAAAAACACTTACTGATGGAGATTGGATACGACTCAAAACATGATTGACTCTACTTGTATTAGATGGATCAGCTTGATGACATTTAAGATCAATATATTAGCGTATATGTTCAGCTTTTTTTTTATCTTGTGGAGTAATGTAGTATGTTTTGATATTATTATGGATGAAGCGTTCAATTATTCCAAATGTCCTTTCATGAGCTGCTGAAAAAGATTGTTTAGGCCAAAGCTATGAAAAATAGCAGAAATTCATTTTAATTATTTTAATGGATTAAGAAGAATATGGAGAAATAGAAAATGAAGACCTTAATAATGATGACTTCAATTATGAGGAAGATTTAATGGGAGAAGATGAATAGCCTCAATAACCAAAAAATGATAAGGTCAAAAATCCAATTTCAAATTAAAGAATTCACACTCCTTATCCACCTGAAGAAGAGGAGGAGGGTGAAGTCTATTAATATGAAGATTAAAGTGAATAATTAGGAGAAGATAATGACAATTAAGAAAATGTAGAATAAGAAGTAGATGAGGAAGTACCTGAAGATGATGAATAATATAATGAGGAAGTAAATGAAGAAGAACAATATGATGAAGAATATGATTAAAATGAATATGAAGAGAATTATGATGAATTTGAACAGGAAGAAGAAGATGAAATACCTAAAAATAACAAATAGAACAAAGAAGTTAAAGATAATAAAAATACTTAATCCAATTAATAACCTCCTCTTATGGAACCTCCTAAGAAAAAGAAAAGACCTCCTTTACCCATTTAACCTATTAAATAGAAACCCACTTATTAAGAGAAATATGCAGAACTAATGGCTCATTAAGATTACTCAAATTGGAAACCAAAACAGTTGCATGATGAAAATAAGTTACTCAGATAAAAACTTAAAGAAATCTCTGAAGAAGTGTCTAAATTAGTTGAATAGAATGCTTTACGTCTACCTCCACAACCATAACCATAACCATAAATTAAGAGATAGAAAACAGCCTAATCTTAACTCTCAGGTGTATCTGTAATTGATAGGGAGATAGAAATCAATCAAAAAAAATTAGAATAATAAGAAGAGGAGATTAGTAAATTATCAACTAGATTATAATAAATATAAAAAGTGGACTACATTATGAAGTTGGATGAGGAGATTAAGAAATTTGAAGATGAAATGAAAAGGTTAGAATAAAGAAAAAAGTAAGAGTATTTGTAATAGAAACAACGAGGCAAAGATCTTGATAAATATGAGAATTAAGATGGTTTTGATAAGTTGAATAAAGAAAGGAATAATCTCAATTAAGAGATTGTAAATATTAGAAAGAAGGTGAAGGAATAGTGGGAACATTTCAATAAGCAAAAAGAAACTATTAAAAATATACTAGAAGTTGAACTTCCTAAAATCAACTAAGAATTATAAGCATTAGAGTAAGTAGCTGAAAAGTACAAAATTGACATAAGTGGAGAGAAACCATTCAGTAAATAGAAAGAATAATATATTATGCTTTTAGCGCAAAAAGATAATTTGTTAAAATATAATCAAATTATGGAGAAGAAGGATAAGTAATTAGAATCAATAGAGAAGGAAATTAAGGAATTGAAAAAAGAGAAAGATCGTATAGATTAATAAATTAATGCAAATGAAATGATTTTAATTGAATAAAAAAAATAAAAAGATGAATTAAAAAATAAAGTACCAACTGATGTTTTAAAATAAATTCCTGCAACAATGACTTCAGAAAATATATCAGATGCATTATAAAATGAAAAAAAGATATAATAGGAGAGTCAAAGAAAATTATAAAGTGCTAAACCTCCTATTTCTAAACAATAAGAATATAAAGAATTAAAAATACCTGTTAAATAAGATGATAAATAATAATAATTAACATCAAAAAATGAAGTAGAAGAGGAAATAGTATGTGAAGATGAAAATGAATAATAAAAATAACCTATAAAATAAGAAGAAAAAAAATAGATACCAATATCAAATTCAACACCATTAAAATAAGAGATATAAGTAATATAATAATAATAATAATAATAATTTTAATCTCCTAATCAATAAAATAAATTAAATTCAAAACCTTTTAGTAATCTTAGAAAATCTATTGATTAATAACCTACTGTTGATCTAGGTCTCAGCAATGTAAGCAATTAATAAAGTAATACTAGCGATGTTTAAACAGAATATACAGGTCCTTCTAGAATGATGAGAATGATGAGAAAACCCTAATAAAGTTAATAAGAAGAAACTACTTAATTCATAATTCATTCTTCTAAACCAGTTGAACAACCTAGAGATCATCAAAAAGTAATTATTGAATAAAATAATAAACCTATTGAACAGCCAATTTAAATTGAATAACCAAAACCTGTTGATGATTATTAACCTACTTTTCCAACTAGAAGAATTACAAATAGACCTAGAGGATTAGATTATAATTCAATTGATTAATAATAATAAACATAATAATAAACTTAATAACCCTAATAATAATAAACATAATAAACAACATAATAACCAATATTAATTAATTAAAAATAAGAATAAACATAATAATTAGAGTATCCTACTAGAAGAAGAAATAGAGGTAGTTAAGAAGAATAGTTAGAATAAAATAATAATTTATAATAATCATAATAATAATCAATTTCATCACAATAATAATCATAATAATCATATCAACCTACTGAAGATACTAATAAATAACGAAGAATTAAAATATTTACTGATGAAAAGCAACCTGAAGCTCCTAAAACTGAAGAACCTGCCTATGAATTTCAACCAAGACAAGAACCTACAAAACTATAAGGAAGAAGAAATAGGGGAAATAATAAATTAAATATTTGGGAAGATTAGCCTGTTTAGAAAGAGAATATTGAAGAGATATAGGAAATTAAAGATGTAAAATAAATTCCAGAAGTTCAACATAAAGAAGAGAGAGAATTAACTTTAGATGAAATTTTAGGAGGTCCAAAACAGTAGGATGAATATAGACCAAATCAATAAAAAAGAAAATTTGAAGTACCTAAAGATGATCATGAAACCTATGAACCTGGATTTGGTGGAGGTGGAAATAGAAGAGGAATAGGAAATCAATAAAAAATAGATAAGGTATAAATATTCATAAATATTAAAATAGTAAAAAGAATTGGCTTAAAAGGCTGAGAAAGGGGATTTATTAGATGATTTTGACTTTTGATCTGAAATATATATATATATACAATATTGGCTTTTTATAATACTTTTTAATTAAGTCATTCTTAATTCATCAGTTAAATAAAAAAATATTTTTTAAATCATAGTTATGTTATCAAAATTTTAAATCAATATATTAAATGAAGTATTATTCTAAGTAATAAGTATTATTAATGTTAGGAATATTCTGTCTTAGTTTTTAAAATCCCAAAATAGATTACTTAATATATGGTAGAAAGATCTCTAAAATTATAAAGAAAATTAATAGCAATAAACTTATTTTATAGTTTATCAGTGGGATCTATTAATAAGAGTTTTGTCAAAATAATTGAATATAGATTTTTGTTATAAATAAATATTAACATTTTATATGATCTTAAGCATCTTAGAATTACTTTACAATGATATTTAATGCATTTATATCATTTGAAATGTTAATTAATTATTATTTTATACACATAAATTGAATTTTTGCTCCTTATATATTTAATAAATCGATATTACTCTGATATTCTACTTCCAAATTATCACAATATTAAATCCATTTAAACTTTACATATTATATCTTCTAAAATAGCAATATTTTTATATGTAAATCCTTATGTTATCAATATAAACCAATTGAACCAGATATAAAATAAGATGTATTTATCAATTAATCAAGTGGAATAATAATAACTACCTATATAATATGTTTGTAATTTTTCTTATTTAATCGAGATGTTCAATCTATTTATTATTTATTAAGATTTAATTTTTTTCGATGCTAGAACAATCTAAGAATATTTTATATAGGATAGGCAATTCAACTATCGATACTTTCGATATCTTTGGATAACTGCCAAACTTTAGAGTACTTGAAAAAAATAAGTACACTTCTGTGGTTGGTTGTTGTATGACCTTCATAATAGGAACAGCTACATTAATTTATTTAGTGACTGAAATAACAACCCTTTTACATAAGGCTGAACCTAATGTTGTTACATCTGAGCTGCAGATATTTGACTCAACAGTAATAATCAATAGTAATCAAAGTCTTTCCCACTTTATAATGATAATTTTACTCTAGCTGTCACAATAGCAACTAAAAATTCAGAACCTATATTAGGGTAACTGAAATATTATAATTTGACAATGAGTCATTGCATCAGAGAAAGATTGCTTAATGAAACAACAGGGAAGGTTTAGGTGAAATTGAAGTAAATATAAATACTATTTAGTTGTACTGAATTGCCAATTGCCCCTTGTTAAACTGAAGACTTTGATAATAATTTATAAAGAGAATTTTTCAAAAATACTAGATTAGGCGTTGTTCAATGTATCAATCGAACTAGGCTTAGAAATAATCCTCCTGTAATTATAAGATATTAATTTAAGATTCTGCAAGGTTAAATCTCAGGATATAAGTACTAATACTTAGTAATTGAATTGAGTATATGCAAAAATAATACAGATTATTAAGGTTGTGCTCCAATTGAAGAGATTAGAAAAGTATTATCAGCAGGTCATTATTCTGTGTATGCAAGTGATTATTTGATGCAATTAAATCATCCTGGTTTGCCATACTAATAATTAATAAATTTAGACATTAATAGTTTTTCCATCTCAACCTCTAAAATGTTATAATGGACATACAGAANTTAACATTTTATATGATCTTAAGCATCTTAGAATTACTTTACAATGATATTTAATGCATTTATATCATTTGAAATGTTAATTAATTATTATTTTATACACATAAATTGAATTTTTGCTCCTTATATATTTAATAAATCGATATTACTCTGATATTCTACTTCCAAATTATCACAATATTAAATCCATTTAAACTTTACATATTATATCTTCTAAAATAGCAATATTTTTATATGTAAATCCTTATGTTATCAATATAAACCAATTGAACCAGATATAAAATAAGATGTATTTATCAATTAATCAAGTGGAATAATAATAACTACCTATATAATATGTTTGTAATTTTTCTTATTTAATCGAGATGTTCAATCTATTTATTATTTATTAAGATTTAATTTTTTTCGATGCTAGAACAATCTAAGAATATTTTATATAGGATAGGCAATTCAACTATCGATACTTTCGATATCTTTGGATAACTGCCAAACTTTAGAGTACTTGAAAAAAATAAGTACACTTCTGTGGTTGGTTGTTGTATGACCTTCATAATAGGAACAGCTACATTAATTTATTTAGTGACTGAAATAACAACCCTTTTACATAAGGCTGAACCTAATGTTGTTACATCTGAGCTGCAGATATTTGACTCAACAGTAATAATCAATAGTAATCAAAGTCTTTCCCACTTTATAATGATAATTTTACTCTAGCTGTCACAATAGCAACTAAAAATTCAGAACCTATATTAGGGTAACTGAAATATTATAATTTGACAATGAGTCATTGCATCAGAGAAAGATTGCTTAATGAAACAACAGGGAAGGTTTAGGTGAAATTGAAGTAAATATAAATACTATTTAGTTGTACTGAATTGCCAATTGCCCCTTGTTAAACTGAAGACTTTGATAATAATTTATAAAGAGAATTTTTCAAAAATACTAGATTAGGCGTTGTTCAATGTATCAATCGAACTAGGCTTAGAAATAATCCTCCTGTAATTATAAGATATTAATTTAAGATTCTGCAAGGTTAAATCTCAGGATATAAGTACTAATACTTAGTAATTGAATTGAGTATATGCAAAAATAATACAGATTATTAAGGTTGTGCTCCAATTGAAGAGATTAGAAAAGTATTATCAGCAGGTCATTATTCTGTGTATGCAAGTGATTATTTGATGCAATTAAATCATCCTGGTTTGCCATACTAATAATTAATAAATTTAGACATTAATAGTTTTTCCATCTCAACCTCTAAAATGTTATAATGGACATACAGAATATCTGAAACTCATACTGATGATGGATTATTATTCTCTACAGATCATGTAGATTTAAATTTAAAAAAATAAGACAGAAGAGAATATACTGAGTTATATAATGATGATTATCTTGTTTATCATTATATATAATTAGATTATAAGGAAACAATCTATTAGAGATCTTATATTAAAATATAAACAATTTTGAGTAAAATTGGTGGAATTTGGTAATTGTTTGTTATTATTGCTGCTTTAATATTAAATCCTTTAATAAATAATTTGATGACTATTTCTATTGCAAATGAATTATATCGATTTCCTAATTCATAAAAAAAATTAAATATGGAAATAATCAATCTATAATAAAGTGATTAAGTTCTTGATGTCTAAGAATCTATTAGAAGATCTCGAGAAATGAATGTAGATGAAAAACTATCAACTGGAATTTATGAATCACTTTTGATACTTTTAGGTTGTCATAGAAAGAAACGAAAATTGTTTTCTTAAGTGAAATAAGAGATTCTTGCATAAATGGATGTAGTAAAGATCATTCAAAAATTACATGAAATTGATCTCCTTAAATTTATTCTTTTGAATGATGAATAGTACAAATTATTTGATCTTTTACCTAAACCTATATTATAAGATGAAAAACTTTAAATGGAAGACATGAGTAATGATTTAGCATCTGAAGCTGGAGTTCAAAAAAGCTTTAGAGCTATCAATAATAAGAAATTATAATCTAAAAATCTTAAAGATTATTATTGTTCATTCTCTTCATTATAATAAGACAAAGGAAGGAGTAGTGTTGATGATAAACTATTATCTATGATTGATCGAAATATAATCTAGTTCTTTGAATAAATTTAAATTTCATAATAACGACATGGTAATTTAAGTCCATTAGATCCCTTATTTCGATCAAGAATAGATGAATCCATCATAGAACCTAAAATTTAAAGGCCTAAATGAAATTATGTTGATAATTTATAATGATATTTAATTATATAAACTTATAAAACCCTTTAATATATAAATATAATATAATTTTAACAAAGTTTTATAAATGAATAAATACAATTAAAACCAGATTACACCTAGAGGAATATATTGTATTAAACACATCCTCTCAAAGTTTTCATTAAAAACAATAATTAATGGTAGAATAATGATGGAAATTGTTTGAGTATTCTAAATAGAGGTTTTAACTTCAATTGATCTTCAATATTTATTTGATCCATTGATTTATTAACACTTATTTAAGAATAAATTAATTGAAATATAATTTTAATATAACGATTTATTATTCTTATTCTAAAATTATAAATATTACTTTTAATTTAGAAAAAACTAAATATATTATAAATAAAAATTTGTGTTAATTTTTAAGGTTGAAATTAATAAAGCCTTTTACAAATAACAAAATTTCAATCATTTATCTGAACTTATATCCTAAAATAAAGAAACCAAATATAATTTAAAAATATCTTTTTTTCTGAATGTCTTTTTAAAACCATTAGGAAATTTTGGCAAGCTAATTTCAAAATTTGATTGAGCTTCATCCATTGTTTTTGATTTTATATAAGAGTACTTTATTTTAGGTGAAGGTACTTATTATCTAATTTAATTTTACAGTTTAGGTTTTTTTGAAATTCTCCATAAACAAAAAGATATAAAGACATATTGGATCATCAAATATTCCTTATTAATAATTGATTCAACTATTTAGATGCTGTTTCAAAAGAAATCCTTAGTTAGATAATGATATTAATTGGCTAATATTCCTTAAAAAATTTAGTTAAATTATTTTAGTTTTGCTAGATATTAATAAATTATTTATACAAGTTTTAGGATGATAAATATTATTATTTAAGTATAAATTTTACTAATAATATATTTATTAAGTCTATTATTTTAGTAAATAAAAAATGAGCTATTTGTCTTAATATATATACAGAATATATTTATAATTATTATTTAAAGTAATGCACTTAAAATAAGGGGTGATTTATGTGAAAGAGTTCATATATATTATAAATTATCTTAATGTTAAATAATAAGTTTGATCTAGGATAACGCTCTTTTTTAATTTTATAAAAAAACGAAGTTAAAAAGTAATTAAATTCATTATTCACTTAATAGTTATAAAAAATATAGTTATCACAAATATGAACTATAAACTGATTGAGAAAATCTGAATAAAATGAATATAAATGCTAATTCTCTCATGAATTATAGTGATAAAATTTGTTAAAATGATTTAATTATATTTGTAAGGAGCGTGATTTAATTATTAAATTAAAAAAAATTAAAATTATTATAAATTCTTTAAATTATTATTATAAAAACTTAAAATTAGATTTGCATGTAATAACTTTAGTATGTATAGCAAAATGGGTTCAAATATTCTTATCTCAAGTAAAAAATATATTTACTCTCATAAATGTAGAAAAAATGATTATCTGATATAATTAAAATAATTATTATAAATAAAATTGTAATAATTCTATTTAGCTTTATCATCTTAAATTCTAATATTATGCTTAAATTATTGTTGAATCTAATAGATGATTACTTCTTAAGGGTAAATGATGTGATTTCTTTTAATCATCTATAGAATTGTTAAAAAAAATATTTAGAAAAGCCGGTTTTTGGTAAAATTAAATTGATTTTATATCCAAAAACATAGGTCTAATGCATTTTGCATACATAAGATTAATTTTAGTCATTTTTTTCATATTTAATATCAATAAAAGATTAATGAATAAAAAAATCTTTATGCTCTCTATGATGATACTATTAATTGAATCATAATTTAGTAGAGAAAAATGTACCTGCTAAGAATTGCTATCAGAAGATGATTGCATAAATAATATCACAACTAAATGTTCTTGGGACGGAAAAAATAGCTAATGCAATATTTTTACTACAACCGATAAGCCAATCAAGAAATATATATAATATTGTGATTCTTATAATGAGAATGATTGTCCTTAAAAATTAGGTTGCGCTTGGTTGTCTAACAAATGTATACTTTTTACAGGTTGTACAGCCTATGATAAGAAAGATAATTCTGAATGTTAAGCAATAAATAGAAGATGTATATCTGATGGAACTCATTGCGTTGAGATTGATGCTTGCTATACTTATAAAAAATAGATCTCATGTGTCAAAAATGCAAATAAAAAATTTTGCTATTGGAATTCTTAAAATAATAGTTGTGTTGATGCTAGTACTTGTGATAAATTACCAAAAATATTTGCAATAGATAAAGAATGCAGGGATGTTATTTCAATTTGTACTGTAATTCCCTCTGGTGGATGTGTCGACAGCGGAAATGAATGCAGCGATTAAAAATTAGAAATTCAATGTTTTTGGAATAAATTACAAACTATTGCTTGTTATTGGGATGGTTTTGCGTGTATAGATAGAATTTGTGAAAATGCACCATCTAGTTTTACAACTGATGATGCTTGTATTACATTTAGAACTGATGGAACCTGCACTACAAAAGCAAATGGAGGATGTGTGACAAGAACTACATGTGCTGATGCAAAAATTAAAGAATCATGCATCAAAAATAGTTCAGGTGATGATTGTTATTGGACAGGAACTACTTGTATCGATAAAACATGTACAAATGCTCCAACTACCATGACAACTAATTTAGAATGTGCAGGATTTGTAACAGGATGTATCACTAAATTATATGGTGGTTGTGTTGCTAATGGAACTTGTTCTGTTGCTAGTGTTCAAGCAGCTTGTGTTAAAAATTCAAACAATTTCGATTGCATTTGGGATTCAAATTGTAAAGAAAAAACATGTGCCAATGCCCCTACAAAAAATAACACTCATGATTTATGTGCATCTTATTTATCTATTTGTACCGTTAAGTCAGGTGGTGGATGTTAAAATAGAACATGTGCCAACGCTCCAACAACTATGACTACCAATGATGCATGTGAAGCTTATCTAACTGGAAATAATTGTATAACAAAATCAGGAGGTGGATGTGTTACAAATACAACATGTGCTGCAATAACTTTAGAAGTTGCTTGTGTTAAGAATTCTTCTGGATCAACTTGTTTCTGGGATCCTGAAAATTCAAGATGTAAAGATAAAACATGTGTGAATGCTCCAGCTGATAACACTACTCATGATCTCTGCTAAGCATTCTTAAATACTTGTACAGTAAATTCAACAAGTGCAGGATGTGTTGAAAAAACATGTGAAAATTCATTAGCATAATCTTATTGTGATAATGATACAAGCCATAGAACATGTATTTGGAAAGGAAAATGTTATAAGAATTAATGTGCTTTTGCATCATCCTTTATAACAACTTATGCTGGCTGTTAAGCTTATCATCCCTCTTGTACTTTAAGCAATTCAGGTACTGGGTGTGTTCCACTCCCACTTAAATGCGAAGCTATCACTATTGAAGCAGCTTGTTAAATGTAATCTAATAAGAAACCATGCGGATGGAATGGATCTTAATGTATTGATAAGGGTTGTTCAACTGCATCAAAGACATTCACAACTACTTCAGAATGCAATGAATACTTATCAATTTGTGTTGCTAATAATCCTATAATTGTTAATGGATTTTTAACAATTGAAGGATGTTAAAATTTACCAAAATCTTGTACATTTAGAAAATCTATTGAAAATTGTGAAATTTCAAGATTTGGATACCCAACCTGTCTGTGGGATTCATTCACTGAATAGTGTGTTGAAAAATCTTGTGCAACAGCTAGTAATTAGGGAACAGCTGGATCACTATAAGGAGAATTTACTGTTTATAATTGCAGAACATATCTAAATACTTGTATTTCAAATAATTCTGCTGATGGATGTATAGTTAAACCATTTAGTTGTTCATCATTAGTTTTATCTAATTGTTAAATTGGATCTAAATAAAGTGGAGATTGTTATTGGAATGGCAATAGTTGTGTTGATAGAATTTGTACAAATATTATCCAAACTACACATGCTAATTGTAATGCTGTATATTATCCATGCACAGTTAATAATTTAGGAACTGCTTGTTAACCACTAGCAACTAACTGTACATCTTATTTAAGCTAAGAAAATTGTAAAATAACAGAAAAATAAGAATATTGTATTTGGACTGGATTCTCTTGCAGAAATGCCACTTGTGCTGATGCTCCAGATTCTTCATCATATGATAGTGATTCAGAATGCTTTGCTTACCCTACACCAAGTGAAAAATGTACAGTCATCTACAAAGTTGGAGCTTAAGGATGTGTAAAAAAATAGGCAAATTGTTCTGATTATAAGACATAATCCTAGTGCCATAAAACTATCACAAATTTAACAGTTGATGATGATTGTAAATGGGTTATTGATAAATGTTATGAATTATCCATTTTCACTTTTGGAACATGCAGATAATTCAAGGGCACATAGAGAATGTGTCAAGAATATAAAGATTGATGTACAAATATATTTAGTGCAGAATCTTCAGTTACTTGTACCTTTGATTGTAATTTAAAAAGAGGATCAGGTTTAACATTTGCAGATTGTTAAGCATTAGATTATACATGTTCAGTCAAAAAAGATGGGTCTGGTTGTATTTATATATAATCTACTTGTTATGGATATGAATCATAAATAATAAATTGTTTTAGATCTAGTGCAAGTGCAAATGCAGGATATTGTGTAATGAATGATTTTTAATAATGTCAACCTGTGAATTAGGCCTCAGAATGTAGATATATAACTGGATTAATTGATATGGATCATCGTAAATGTTAATTATATCACTTTGATTGTACAGCTTTAAATGATGGAACTGGATGTTAGGAGTATAAGAGTAGATGCTCTGATTATGAAACTGCAAACAATTGTTCTATTTCTGTATAAGGCAAATGTTTCTTTGATGGTATCTATTGTGTACGTTTTTCAAATTGTGCTTCAATTATTGGAATAGGATTAAATAATACTATTTGTTCATCTTATCACCCAGGTTGTACTGCATATGCTAATGGAATAGATTGTTAAGAAAAAATGCCAGTTTGTGATCTTTATTTTACACAAAATTCCTGTACTATATCATAAGCTGTAGCACCAACAGATAAATGTGTTTGGACTGGAACTTAATGTATTTCAATTAGTACTGTTGCTACAGATTGTGCTTATGTTACAGGCTATGAACTTACAGATGAAATATGTGCCTCATATAATTTAAATTGTACAGTGAATAGATATGGAACAGCATGCCAAGAAAAGAAAGCAACATGCTATGATTATGCAGCAGATTATGTAGCTTGTTCAATATCAGCAGCCTTACCAGCAAATAAATGTGCTTGGACTGGAACAGCTTGTATTTCAATTTAAAATTACAACATTGCTGATTGTACTTATGTTACTGGATATGAACTTACAGATGAAATATGTGCCTCATATAATTTAAATTGTACAGTGAATAGATATGGAACAGCATGCCAAGAAAAGAAAGCAACATGCTATGATTATGCAGCAGATTATGTAGCTTGTTCAATATCAGCAGCCTTACCAGCAAATAAATGTGCTTGGACTGGAACAGCTTGTATTTCAATTTAAAATTACAACATTGCTGATTGTACTTATGTTACTGGATATGAACTTACAGATGAAATATGTGCCTCATATAATTTAAATTGTACAGTGAATAGATATGGAACAGCATGCCAAGAAAAGAAAGCAACATGCTATGATTATGCAGCAGATTATGTAGCTTGTTCAATATCAGCAGCCTTACCAGCAAATAAATGTGCTTGGACTGGAACAGCTTGTATTTCAATTTAAAATTACAACATTGCTGATTGTACTTATGTTACTGGATATGAACTTACAGATGAAATATGTGCCTCATATAATTTAAATTGTACAGTGAATAGATAAGGAACAGCATGCCAAGAAAAGAAAGCAACATGCTATGATTATGCAGCAGATTATGTAGCTTGTTCAATATCAGCAGCCTTACCAGCANTCTTTTGGAACATGCAGATAATTCAAGGGCACATAGAGAATGTGTCAAGAATATAAAGATGGATGTACAAATATATTTAGTGCAGAATCTTCAGTTACTTGTACCTTAGATTGTAATTTAAAAAGAGGATCAGGTTTAACATTTGCAGATTGTTAAGCATTAGATTATACATGTTCAGTCAAAAAAGATGGGTCTGGTTGTATTTATATATAATCTACTTGTTATGGATATGAATCATAAATAATAAATTGTTTTAGATCTAGTGCAAGTGCAAATGCAGGATATTGTGTAATGAATGATTTTTAATAATGTCAACCTGTGAATTAGGCCTCAGAATGTAGATATATAACTGGATTAATTGATATGGATCATCGTAAATGTTAATTATATCACTTTGATTGTACAGCTTTAAATGATGGAACTGGATGTTAGGAGTATAAGAGTAGATGCTCTGATTATGAAACTGCAAACAATTGTTCTATTTCTGTATAAGGCAAATGTTTCTTTGATGGTATCTATTGTGTACGTTTTTCAAATTGTGCTTCAATTATTGGAATAGGATTAAATAATACTATTTGTTCATCTTATCACCCAGGTTGTACTGCATATGCTAATGGAATAGATTGTTAAGAAAAAATGCCAGTTTGTGATCTTTATTTTACACAAAATTCCTGTACTATATCATAAGCTGTAGCACCAACAGATAAATGTGTTTGGACTGGAACTTAATGTATTTCAATTAGTACTGTTGCTACAGATTGTGCTTATGTTACAGGCTATGAACTTACAGATGAAATATGTGCCTCATATAATTTAAATTGTACAGTGAATAGATATGGAACAGCATGCCAAGAAAAGAAAGCAACATGCTATGATTATGCAGCAGATTATGTAGCTTGTTCAATATCAGCAGCCTTACCAGCAAATAAATGTGCTTGGACTGGAACAGCTTGTATTTCAATTTAAAATTACAACATTGCTGATTGTACTTATGTTACTGGATATGAACTTACAGATGAAATATGTGCCTCATATAATTTAAATTGTACAGTGAATAGATAAGGAACAGCATGCCAAGAAAAGAAAGCAACATGCTATGATTATGCAGCAGATTATGTAGCTTGTTCAATATCAGCAGCCTTACCAGCAAACAAATGTTTTTGGACTGGAACAGCTTGTATTTCAATTTAAAATTACAACATTGCTGATTGTGCTTATGTTACTGGATATGAACTTACAGATGAAATATGTGCCTCATATAATTTAAATTGTACAGTGAATAGATATGGAACAGCATGCCAAGAAAAGAAAGCAACATGCTATGATTATGCAGCAAATTATATAGCTTGCTCAATATCAGCAGCTGCATCAACAGCCAATAAATGTGTTTGGACTGGAACTTAATGTATTTCAGTTATTACCACTGCTGTCGAGTGTGCATATATTACTGAATATGAACTCACAGATGAAATATGTGCCTCATATAATCCAGGTTGTACAGTAAATAGGTATGGAACAGAATGCCAAGAAAAGAAAGCAACATGCGTTGCTTATGCAGCAAATTATATAGCTTGTTCAATATCAGCAGCTGCATCAACAGCCAATAAATGTGTTTGGACTGGAACTTAATGTATTTCAGTTATTACCACTGCTGTCGAGTGTGCATATATTACTGAATATGAACTCACAGATGAAATATGTGCCTCATATAATCCAGGTTGTACAGTAAATAGGTATGGAACAGAATGCCAAGAAAAGAAAGCAACATGCGTTGCTTATGCAGCAAATTATATAGCTTGTTCAATATCAGCAGCTGCATCAACAGCCAATAAATGTGTTTGGACTGGAACTTAATGTATTTCAGTTATTACCACTGCTGTCGAGTGTGCATATATTACTGAATATGAACTCACAGATGAAATATGTGCCTCATATAATCCAGGTTGTACAGTAAATAGGTATGGAACAGAATGCCAAGAAAAGAAAGCAACATGCGTTGCTTATGCAGCAAATTATATAGCTTGTTCAATATCAGCAGCTGCATCAACAGCCAATAAATGTGTTTGGACTGGAACTTAATGTATTTCAGTTATTACCACTGCTGTCGAGTGTGCATATATTACTGAATATGAACTCACAGATGAAATATGTGCCTCATATAATCCAGGTTGTACAGTAAATAGGTATGGAACAGAATGCCAAGAAAAGAAAGCAACATGCGTTGCTTATGCAGCAAATTATATAGCTTGTTCAATATCAGCAGCTGCATCAACAGCCAATAAATGTGTTTGGACTGGAACTTAATGTATTTCAGTTATTACCACTGCTGTCGAGTGTGCATATATTACTGAATATGAACTCACAGATGAAATATGTGCCTCATATAATCCAGGTTGTACAGTAAATAGGTATGGAACAGAATGCCAAGAAAAGAAAGCAACATGCGTTGCTTATGCAGCAAATTATATAGCTTGTTCAATATCAGCAGCTGCATCAACAGCCAATAAATGTGTTTGGACTGGAACTTAATGTATTTCAGTTATTACCACTGCTGTCGAGTGTGCATATATTACTGAATATGAACTCACAGATGAAATATGTGCCTCATATAATCCAGGTTGTACAGTAAATAGGTATGGAACAGAATGCCAAGAAAAGAAAGCAACATGCGTTGCTTATGCAGCAAATTATATAGCTTGTTCAATATCAGCAGCTGCATCAACAGCCAATAAATGTGTTTGGACTGGAACTTAATGTATTTCAGTTATTACCACTGCTGTCGAGTGTGCATATATTACTGGATATGAACTCACAGATGAAATATGTGCCTCATATAATCCAGGTTGTACAGTAAATAGATAAGGAACAGCATGCCAAGAGAAACTAACCACTTGTGAACAATACATAACATAATTTAATTGTTCAATATCAACATTAAGTAAATGTGTTTGGACAGGATATTAATGTATTTCTGTTACTAATGTTGCTACTGATTGTGCATATATTACTGGAAATCGACTTACAGATACAATTTGCGCCTCATATCATCTTGGTTGTACTAGTCTAAAAGATGGTACTGGTTGTTAAGAAGCAAAACCGAATTGTAGGGATTATACTTCATTCAATAAATGCTTTTTATAAACAACTGGCTTTCCTTCATGTATTTGGATTGATTACTCTTGCTATCCCATCACTGATGCAAATTGTAGTGTAATAACAGGATATGGACTTGATCATGCTCAATGCTAAGCCTACAGCACAGGTTGTACATCTGTTTCTGATGGAAGTAAATGTTAAGACTTTAAATCAACTTGTGAATAATATCCAGGTACAACTCTAGGATGCACTAAATATCCTTAAAAATGTTATTTATACGGTTCTACTTGTATCGCTATTTAAAATGTTCATACTGATTGCGCTAAAATAACTGGGTCTGCTGGAGCTATAACATACGAAATTTGCTAATCGTATAATTCAGGTTGTAGCGTAAATAGAGCAAGAAGTGCTTGTGTCTAATAATAAGCATAATGTTCAGGATATACTAGTGCGATGACAAGTTGTTATAAATCAGGAGCTGGTCTATGTATTGCAAGTACAAATACAGATACTGCTTGTGTAGCTGCAACAGCCGCAACAACTTGCGATGCTGTGTATTTAGGATCAGGAAATTACAGCAGTGCCAATTGTAATGAAATGAAGGCGGGATGTACAAATAATGGAGCAACTGCATGTGTAGCAAAAACTTGTACAAATGCTGTGGTTACATTTAATCATACAAATTGCAATAGTTATCTCAACACCTGTACTGTAAATTCTGGAAATAGCGCATGCCAAACTATGGCATCTAAATGTGCAGATTAAACTCAAGCTTCTTGCCTTTACTCAGTTGAAGGAGAATGTGTAGTAGTAGGTACTTCATGTGTAAGAAAGACTTGTGATACTGCAGCAACTGATGCTACTCGGGATGATGACAATGAATGTTCGTCCTACTTGTAGTCTTGTACTGTTGCTAGATTAGGAGGTTGCCAAGCCAGAGCGGCTTGCTCTTCTTATATATCTTTCCTCTAATGTAAATTTAATACTAGTGGTGGAAAATGTTTCTGGAATCCTACTCAAAAGAGTTGTGTTGATTTGAATTGTGGTAATATTGAAGCCACAACTTTATACGATACTCATAATGAATGTGTTGTTGTTGATGAAATACTTGCTTGTACAGTAAGAGCTAGAGATGGAGCTACCATTTAAGGGTGTATGTCTAGAGGAGCATGCAGTTCATATACTATTGAAGAACAATGTAAAACAAATTTAAGTAATGGTATTTGTGTTTGGAATACAAATGCAAATTTACCAGCACCTGTTTGCTAAGATAAGTCTTGTAACACTGCTCCAATATACTATGCAACTCATGATGATTGTTATGCTTATTATGAAACTGCAACAGTAAAGTGTACTGTTTTTGCCACTCCTAGTAATAGTGGTGATAGACCAATTTTAGAAGGATGTTAATAGACTACTGCTTGTTCAAGTTATATTGATAAAGAATAATGTTAAATCAACGCCAATGGAGATCCATGTGGATGGAATGGAACATCATGTGCTGACAAATCTTGCAATACTGCTCCTATAGATTATGATGATGATACTAAATGTAGAGAATATATTACTAATAAATGTACAGTCTCAGATACTGGATATGGATGTGTAGATATTCCTGTAACTTGTGAGACAATGAAATAGAATTAATGTTATTATAATAAAGCTGGAGATCCTTGCTATTGGACAGGAATAGAATGTATTAAAAGATCATGTGAAAATGCTCCAGAGGGAACAATTACTGCAGATGATTGTAATAAATATTTAACTGGATGTACTTTAGATAATATAAAATGTAAGACAAAAATTTGTGAAGATTTTGAATTTGGTACTGATTATTTATGTAAATAATCTATTTCTACATGTACAACAAATGGAAAGAATTGTGTTACAAGAGGATCATGTTTATAGGCTTTAGATAAAGCTGGATGTATCCTTTCATCAACAGGGGAATAATGTGAATGGATTCCTGATAATGACATTAATTCAGCATATTGTACCATAAAGACTTGTTCTACAGCATCAGATTCTTTGATAACAGAAGAATAATGTTAATAATATTTTCGTAATTGTACAACCAAAAAAGGTGGAGGATGTATTGAAAAATCAAGTTGTGCTAATGCTAATGTTGAAAGTGCTTGCACAACTGCATTTAATGGTTAGATATGTGTATGGGATTCCATTAAATAATTATGTAGAGATTATGATTGTTAAGATATAGATGGAACACTACATGATGCTTGTCAATCAAGAAAAAGTGATTGTACTGCAGGACTTAATGGAAGATGTGCAAAAATCTAAAATTGTGAATAAACTAATGTTAGAGCTGCTTGTATTGTAGGATTGAATGGACCATGTTTATGGATAGATCAATATATAAATTAAGATGATTCTAAAGGGGCTTGTTTCTAGTATACTTCTTGTTAAAGTTTAAGTTGGAAAACTGATTAATAATGTAAATAAATTAATGATCAATGTACAACTGATGGATCAAAGTGTGTAGCAATTACTTTATGTTCAGAAACTAATATTAATGGAGGTTGTGTCACAGGATATGATGGAATTTGTGTATAATCAGTCCTAGAATTAAATTCTCTAGAATCAGCAGTTTGTTAACCATATAAATCTTGTGAGAAAGTTTTCTACATAACTCATGAATAATGTTAATAAGCTAATAGAAATTGTACTACAAATGGAAAAACTAGTTGTATAGATTTAACTGAATGTTAATTATATTAATCTTAAGTTGGATGTGTTATAAATAAAACTGGTCTTAATGTTTAATCTGGAATTGTAAAGTCAACTGGACTATGTACTTGGGATGCAAAAAATAATTAGTGTAGAGATTAAGATTGTTCTGATTATATCAGAACCACCCATCGAGAATGCTTTGGAATATTATCAACCTGTACTTCAAATGGAGAAACTTGTATTAAACAAGAATTATGTTCATCTTACACCACCTAAGTTATTTGTGAAACTGCTGTTGGCTCTGATGGTATTTGCTTTTGGGAATATGCATCATTAAAAAATAATAATAATGCCACTTGTAGATTACTTATTTGTCAAGATATTTAAAACAGTTTATCAAATAATGTATGTTTAGCTTCTTCACTTTCTTGTGTTATAGATAATGATAATATTTGTATTCCAAAAGCAAATTGTTCTACTTATACTTCTAAATCAGCTTGTAACTATGGAGGATTAGATGGAATTTGTGTTTTCAAATAATAAAATGGTATAAATTCTATTTCTGGAATTGGAACATGTACTTTAATGAGAGACTGTAGTGCAGCCAATGATGATTAGAATGCTTGTTAAGCAGCAAAAGATAGATGCTTATGGATACCAGAATTGATAATATAAGGTCTTGCTACTCCAAGTAAATGTTCTGCTCTTGATTGTACTTTAAATTGGGCAAAAAATGGTTATTGCAATAGAATTTTAAATTGGGATAAAAAATCCTAGTAAATGTGTAAACTTATAAATGGAACTTGTGTTTCCATAAATCCTATTGATCTTTCATTTAATGAGTGTTTAAAGATTTCTGGTTATACATACACTTGGAATGCTTCTAAAAATTAATGTTAGGTTTGTAAATCTTCAGAGTCAAACAGTAATCAAAATAATGTAACAGTGATATAACAAAAGAATGAAAAGACAGAATCAACATCTTCTAACTAAATTTTAAGTATAATTGGTTTAATGGTTATAGATTATCTAATATGATGAATATTATATTTAAATTAATAAATATTAGATTTATTATTTTTTTTTATTTCAAATAAGTACAATTAATTAATACCTAATTTTATAATATTAGTAAATTAATATTGTTCCATTAAGATTTGATTCAATATAATATNTTCTAAAGGGGCTTGTTTCTAGTATACTTCTTGTTAAAGTTTAAGTTGGAAAACTGATTAATAATGTAAATAAATTAATGATCAATGTACAACTGATGGATCAAAGTGTGTAGCAATTACTTTATGTTCAGAAACTAATATTAATGGAGGTTGTGTCACAGGATATGATGGAATTTGTGTATAATCAGTCCTAGAATTAAATTCTCTAGAATCAGCAGTTTGTTAACCATATAAATCTTGTGAGAAAGTTTTCTACATAACTCATGAATAATGTTAATAAGCTAATAGAAATTGTACTACAAATGGAAAAACTAGTTGCATAGATTTAACTGAATGTTAATTATATTAATCTTAAGTTGGATGTGTTATAAATAAAACTGGTCTTAATGTTTAATCTGGAATTGTAAAGTCAACTGGACTATGTACTTGGGATGCAAAAAATAATTAGTGTAGAGATTAAGATTGTTCTGATTATATCAGAACCACCCATCGAGAATGCTTTGGAATATTATCAACCTGTACTTCAAATGGAGAAACTTGTATTAAACAAGAATTATGCTCATCTTACACCACCTAAGTTATTTGTGAAACTGCTGTTGGCTCTGATGGTATTTGCTTTTGGGAATATGCATCATTAAAAAATAATAATAATGCCACTTGTAGATTACTTATTTGTCAAGATATTTAAAACAGTTTATCAAATAATGTATGTTTAGCTTCTTCACTTTCTTGTGTTATAGATAATGATAATATTTGTATTCCAAAAGCAAATTGTTCTACTTATACTTCTAAATCAGCTTGTAACTATGGAGGATTAGATGGAATTTGTGTTTTCAAATAATAAAATGGTATAAATTCTATTTCTGGAATTGGAACATGTACTTTAATGAGAGACTGTAGTGCAGCCAATGATGATTAGAATGCTTGTTAAGCAGCAAAAGATAGATGCTTATGGATACCAGAATTGATAATATAAGGTCTTGCTACTCCAAGTAAATGTTCTGCTCTTGATTGTACTTTAAATTGGGCAAAAAATGGTTATTGCAATAGAATTTTAAATTGGGATAAAACGTCTTAGTAAATATGTAAACTTATAAATGGAACTTGTGTTGCCATAAATCCTATTACTCTTTCATCTAGTGAGTGTTTAAAGATATCTGGTTATACCTACACTTGGAATACATCTAAAAATTAATGCTAGGTTTGTAAACCATCAAAGCCAAACTCTAACCAAAATAATGATACAGGGGAAGAAGAAAAGAATGAAAATACAGAATCAACATCTTCTAACTAAATTTTAAGTATAATTGGTTTAATGGTTATAGATTATCTAATATCGTGAGTATTAAATATAGATTAATAAATATTAAATTTATTATTTTTTTTTATTTCAAACAAGTACAATTAATTAATACCTAATTTTATATTATTAGTAAATTAATATTGTTCCATTAAGATTTGATTCAATATAATATAATCAATTTACATAAAGATTTAAATTAATAGATAAGAGGATATTAATATCCTCAGATTGTATTTGTTCATTATGCAAAATAAATTTATTAAACTTATGAATTATTTATTTTAGTTTATAATTTTATCATATTATTATTTCAAAGTCGTTAATATTTGAGAAAGCTAAAACTCTTCGAATTCTTGTTAATTAAATGAAGAGATAATTAATAATTATTAATGATTTAATATGAACTCTACCTTTTCATTTAGGAAATATAATTTACCAAATATAATAATTTTATTATCCGCGTAAATGTTTTTAATAAATTAATATTCAATTATGATATCAGGATGTTGATATAGTTTTTCAAACTAGTTTAGTATTTAACACACCTAAGATATAACTAGGTTGAGAAGTATGATTCTTCTTAAATTCTACTTTATCTTCATTATTGAATCAAGATGTAAATTGTTCATTCTAATTACTTTGAAATGATTAGTTACTTTAAATGTTGAAGTTCATTTATTTTTCAAAAAAAACTAATTCTGCTAATGCTAAAATAAGTAATTCTTAATGTTTATGAAATTCTTTATTTTAAGTTATAAATTATTCCTTCCAAAAATCCTGCTCTTTAGCTACAGCCTACATTTTTCATTAATTAAATGAGATTCCTCAAGTATCTATTTCCTTTAGATGATCGAATTCATCCTATTTTGATCTAATTTTTGGTTGAACAATTAAATTTCTTCGCTTTATAATTTTGTTCTGTGTCATCTTCTAAGAATTTTGAATTATACTGAAATTTAAGTGTAATATTTTTGTAACACAAGTTAATCTGGATCTGATACTGAAATAAAGAGATTTATTGTTGAATTTTATGCTATTATCTTTAGTAAATACAATTTGATGTAACAAGTAAATTTTTCTTTATTTAAATATTTTCTTATCGATTATATTTACACTTAATTTATATTGTTCGTATGGGTTCTGCTTATGCATATTTTTTAGTTATAAAAACTAGTGCAAAACTGAAATACATAACATATTTTATTAATAGTTCAAAAAACAGTAATTATCAGAATTAAAAATTAAAATTAAGCTTTTTAACCAAATCTGAATATAAATTGATTTATTACTAAAATTCATCTATAGCAATTGGACAATTCCGGAAAACGATTACATAAAATTCTATAATGGCAGCTTTAACTTTGAAATTATAAAAATTAAAAAAAACAAAATGAATATTTAAATTTGATACATTAGTATATCTATTTAAGCATTCTCATATATTCTTATAATAAATTTAAAACGTGTATGTACTCTAAAAAATAAAAAATTAGAAGCTAAATTCAAACTTGTAATATTATAAATAATGATTTGATTATTCTATTTAGTTTAATGATTACAAATTCTATTCAAATTAGTAAATTATGATTTAGTCACAATAATGGTAACCTTTGAGCTTAAATCAAATTGATTTAATTGAATATATCTGGAACTTGTTTAACAAATATGTAGAAAAGCCTACTCACTTACCTTCATTTTGAAGTATAGAAACACATTANCTAATTTTATATTATTAGTAAATTAATATTGTTCCATTAAGATTTGATTCAATATAATATAATCAATTTACATAAAGATTTAAATTAATAGATAAGAGGATATTAATATCCTCAGATTGTATTTGTTCATTATGCAAAATAAATTTATTAAACTTATGAATTATTTATTTTAGTTTATAATTTTATCATATTATTATTTCAAAGTCGTTAATATTTGAGAAAGCTAAAACTCTTCGAATTCTTGTTAATTAAATGAAGAGATAATTAATAATTATTAATGATTTAATATGAACTCTACCTTTTCATTTAGGAAATATAATTTACCAAATATAATAATTTTATTATCCGCGTAAATGTTTTTAATAAATTAATATTCAATTATGATATCAGGATGTTGATATAGTTTTTCAAACTAGTTTAGTATTTAACACACCTAAGATATAACTAGGTTGAGAAGTATGATTCTTCTTAAATTCTACTTTATCTTCATTATTGAATCAAGATGTAAATTGTTCATTCTAATTACTTTGAAATGATTAGTTACTTTAAATGTTGAAGTTCATTTATTTTTCAAAAAAAACTAATTCTGCTAATGCTAAAATAAGTAATTCTTAATGTTTATGAAATTCTTTATTTTAAGTTATAAATTATTCCTTCCAAAAATCCTGCTCTTTAGCTACAGCCTACATTTTTCATTAATTAAATGAGATTCCTCAAGTATCTATTTCCTTTAGATGATCGAATTCATCCTATTTTGATCTAATTTTTGGTTGAACAATTAAATTTCTTCGCTTTATAATTTTGTTCTGTGTCATCTTCTAAGAATTTTGAATTATACTGAAATTTAAGTGTAATATTTTTGTAACACAAGTTAATCTGGATCTGATACTGAAATAAAGAGATTTATTGTTGAATTTTATGCTATTATCTTTAGTAAATACAATTTGATGTAACAAGTAAATTTTTCTTTATTTAAATATTTTCTTATCGATTATATTTACACTTAATTTATATTGTTCGTATGGGTTCTGCTTATGCATATTTTTTAGTTATAAAAACTAGTGCAAAACTGAAATACATAACATATTTTATTAATAGTTCAAAAAACAGTAATTATCAGAATTAAAAATTAAAATTAAGCTTTTTAACCAAATCTGAATATAAATTGATTTATTACTAAAATTCATCTATAGCAATTGGACAATTCCGGAAAACGATTACATAAAATTCTATAATGGCAGCTTTAACTTTGAAATTATAAAAATTAAAAAAAACAAAATGAATATTTAAATTTGATACATTAGTATATCTATTTAAGCATTCTCATATATTCTTATAATAAATTTAAAACGTGTATGTACTCTAAAAAATAAAAAATTAGAAGCTAAATTCAAACTTGTAATATTATAAATAATGATTTGATTATTCTATTTAGTTTAATGATTACAAATTCTATTCAAATTAGTAAATTATGATTTAGTCACAATAATGGTAACCTTTGAGCTTAAATCAAATTGATTTAATTGAATATATCTGGAACTTGTTTAACAAATATGTAGAAAAGCCTACTCACTTACCTTCATTTTGAAGTATAGAAACACATTATTTAGATTATATTGCATACATAGCATATATCCTAGTCATTTTTTTTTATAAAATCAATAAAAGATTAATGAATAACAAAATCTTCATTCTATCTATAATGCTTTTATAAGTCTAATCTTAATAATATAGCATAACAGCATGCACTTGTTAAGATTTGCTATCAGAAATCGATTGCATAAATAATATCACAACTAAATGTTCTTGGGACGGAAAAAATAGCAAATGCAATATTTTTACTACAACCGATAAGCCAATCAAGAAATATATATAATATTGTGATTCTTATAATGAGAATGATTGTCCTTAAAAATTAGGTTGTGCTTGGTTGTCTAACAAATGTATGCTTTTTACAGGTTGTACAGCCTATGATAAGAAAGATAATTCTGAATGTTAAGCAATAAATAGAAGATGTATATCTGATGGAACTCATTGCGTTGAGATTGATGCTTGCAAAATTTATAAAAAATAGCTCTCTTGCGTCAAAAATGCTGAAGGAAGCTTATGCTATTGGGATACAACAAACAATATATGTGTTGATGTAATTACTTGCTATTAATTACCATCAACATTGTAAACAGATAGAGATTGCAGAGATGCTATTTCTATTTGTACCGTAATTCCCTATGGTGGATGTGTTGAAAGTGGAAATGAATGCAGTGATTAAAAATTAGAAATTCAATGTTTTTGGAATAAATTACAAACTACTGCTTGCTATTGGGATGGTATTGTGTGCAAAGATAGAATTTGTGAAAATGCACCACCTAGTTTTACAACTGATGATGCTTGTATTAAATTTAGAACTGATGGAACCTGCACTACAAAAGCAAATGGAGGATGTGTGACAAGAACTACATGTGCTGATGCAAAAATTGAAGAATCATGCATCAAAAATAGTTCAGGCGATGATTGTTATTGGACAGGAACTACTTGTTTCGATAAGACATGTGCAAATGCTCCAACTACCATGAAAACAAATTCAGCATGTGCAAAATTTGTTAAAGGGTGTATTACTAAATCAGGTGGTGGTTGTGTTGCCAACGGAGCTTGTTCTGCTGCTAAAATTCAAGAAGCTTGTGTTAGAAATTCTAGCAATTTTGATTGCATTTGGGATATAACTTGTAAAGAAAAAACATGTGACAATGCCCCAATAATAATTACAAGAAATGAGGAATGTGAAGCTTATCTAAATGGAAATAATTGCATAACAAAAACAGGAGGTGGATGTGTTAAATATACTACATGTGCTTCAATAACCTTAGAAGATGCTTGTGTTATTGAATAATCTTGTTTCTGGGATACTTAAAATTCAAGTTGTAAAGATAAAACATGTGTGAATGCTCCAGCTGATAACATTTCTCATGAGCTATGTTAAGCCTTCTTAAATACATGTACAGTAAATTCAATATATGCAGGATGCGTTGAAAAAACATGTGAAAATTAAATGACATAGTTTAATTGTGATAAAGATGCAAGCAATAAGTTATGTATTTGGAAAGGAAAATGTTATAAAAAATAATGTGTCTTAGCGCCATCTTTTATAACAACTCATGCTGACTGTTAAGCTTATCATTACTCTTGTACTTTAAACAATTCAGGCATTGGATGTGTCCCACTTCCACTCAAATGTTAGGCAATAACTATTGAAGCTGCATGTTAAATAAAAGCAAATATGAAACCATGCGGATGGAATGGATCTTAATGTATTGATAAGGGTTG